CACGAAAACTATTAATTTCTAGCTTCCAAAGCATGTCCCCTCGCAGTATATATATATATATATTAAAAGTAGTTTAATGGGATATTGATAGTACCTGAATCTTCCGGATCTATGACTGCCCCAAAGGCTCGCTCCTCTGCATCCTCTTCCATGGCCGGCCCAGCAAAGGCCAGCAGACTACCGGGCTCCACCGCGAAGCGGAAGCTGCGCGGTGCGCGCCAGAGGCCTGGGCCGCAGCGCGCACGGCCGAAGGAGCACTGGTAGAGCTCCACATTGCCGTGGCACTCACGGATCTCGTAGGGCTGAAACCAGTCGTAGTGATGGGCATCCACATTGGAAGTGAAGACCTGAAAGTGACAGAAAACGAGTTCAAGTCTGGAAGTATACAGTATACATCACAAATACGAGATTTATTAGGAGCTTCAAGAGCTTATCGGAGCCAAAAAGGAAGTGGACTTGGTGAAGCTATGCGAAGCTTGGATCCATCAACCGTCCGGTTTCCAAGCTTACGCTTGTAGGCCTTTGAACAGAAGCGGGCAGAGATGTGGTGACTCGGTTCGGTCATGCCAATGTCGTAGAATCAACCGAACTACACTCTGACTCACTAACATGGAAGTGGAAAATGGCCTCTTGTCAGACTACTTTCCTCTACAAACAGTGGGTTTTCCACTTCCATGTTAGTGAGTCGGAGTGTATTGAAAAGGTTCATGCTCTGCAGATCAAGAGACATAGAAGGCACCTGCGTGCCCAGAGACTTCGTATGGCTCAGCTGGTAAGCTGTCGAAAGAGGTGTACTCGCTCGTCTCGCAGCTGCTCGACAAGATCGCCCTGGAGACAAAAAATCAAAAGAACCCACAAACCATCATAGATCATAAACTCATATTAGGCTGTGGGTCAAAACCCAGGGTTCTAATTTCCCTGGTAGGTTGACCCATGACCCACAGCCATCTGGCGTGCCCTCTCGTGCCCTGATGGTTCAGCCTTCTGTCATTCTTTTTGTGAGCCCAACTGAGTGTATGTCAAAATTGAAAGTGTCTGATCCTAGGTGGAAAAGTAGATGGACGACCACCTCAGGGTGTCTAAACTACCCCGGAAAGAATCTCCATCAGAACAAGACTGAACACCTGGGTCTTCTGGGTCTTCTGGGTCTTTCGGCCCTCGGTCGGACGCCTCACCCTCATCTTCCACCCCCACCGACCGCCTCATTCGCTGGGCGGTCTCGGAGTGGTGGAAGCGCTGCTCCACCCAGCGGCTGAGGATCTCGTAGCCCTGGTGCGGCGCGGTCGTCCTACGGTGCGCGGTGCGGTCGGACGGGACGGTTGGAGGTGAAGCAGCCCATGGCTGCTTCAGCAGCCCAAGAAGGGGAAAGCACTTGGAGAAAGGCAGGGATCAACCTGAAACGGATTGGTTGGGTTATTTACAGATTGTTTGGTTTTCCTCGAGCATTGAACATTTCTTGGGGTAGAAGGATGTTGGGAGCACATCCAAATCACTTGGAATTGGAAGACATGGGCTTCCTCCTGCTAGCCCATTGCTTCTTCCCAGCTAGAATGGAGTACTGAGCTGTGCTCCAAATACTTGGAAAGTCCAATGTTGAACATACCTCCACGGCGAGAGATTGTTTGTCAAAGAGACAACGGGGCAGATGTTACTCAACTCATGTGGTGGTTGAACATGTCTCCCCGGGTGACTCATACTGCGGGCCAAAATCCTTCAAAACAGCTCCGCCCCCTGACCCTCCTGTTTCGTGCCCGTGCATTTGGCAGAAACTCGGCTCCTGTAGTCGTTGAAGCATTGGCCCCAAAAGCCCCAGAAGAGCGGTGGCTCTTGGTGTACCAGCTTTGGATCGCAGAGGTCCATATAGTCCAAGCTCCTGTCTTGGTAAGCCTTCACCTGTCACGAACCGACATCTCGCTTGGAAGACTCGGACGCTTGGCATGAACTGCAAAGGACAGAGAGGCCACGGCTGGGCTTGAAAGAGTCTGCATGTTTCGGACGGTTCTCATGGTCGGCCACAGTCATACGAGTACCAAGTGAAACATAGTGAAGCTACAAAGCTCTGGATCTGGATGGCCTCACCCTAGTGTCTAGACTGTGACGCCAGGATACCACCATTAATGGTTCTGGCCGAAGAACCATTGCTTTCCTAAAAGATGTTAAACTACGACACCAACTCAATCATGTTGCCTTGGAAGGCTAGATTGTGATTCTTTTGCAACATCCAGCCAGTGGGCGACTGGACGACGCTGCGTTATGTAAAAGGTTAAACTGTGTGTGTGTGCTTGCAGAAGGAGACTCTCCAACCAACGGGTTTCGGTCCATTGTCCTTTCACCAGGTCTCTTGGGTTCTCCCTATTCTAATGCCAACAAATACTCCAGAGGTCAATAGGGTCTTTTGGAAGATGTGTGTCCTCTAGAAGCCAGTGGTTTCTCTCCCTGCCGTGTCTTGACTGGAAAAAAACAATCCTTGTGGCTCCAACCAACCGAAATGGTCCTCTTTCCCGTAGACTTTCTTTGGGATTTGCCTAAGGAACCGGGAAAAGCAAAAAATCCCCCCAGAAGAGGGTTCACCTATAGGGAAAAGTGAAAAACATGTCAAACATAAAAATCACCCTAAGGCCATAAGCGAAACCCAGTTCCTGTTCCAGCAGGTTCAACTCAGGGTCCAACCCAATTCAGACCGCTGGGAGCGAAGACGTGGCAGCCTTCGCCACGTCGTCGTACACCGCCAGCCCACTATCAGCCGAGAAGCCGGCGCCTGAAGACGGTGACCAAGTGAAGGAAGAACAGAGTTTGGACCCTAAAGAACTGAAAGTCCGGTTGAGGGTCTCAACTCTGTAGGGAGACCCAGCTTTACCGGGCCACGGGTGAAAAAATGGGGGTCCACCTGTTTGGAGCCACACCCCGTGGGGCACTCCGAGGGTCTTTTGACTGGAACGGCACCTTTTATCTGTGAGTCCTTCTTCCAGACGCCTCCAGCTTGGACAAGATCAATCAGATCAGTACAGCTCAGGTCTTGAGGCGGAATCAGGGTGGTTCAACTGTCCACAAATGCTCCATGAAAACAGCCCGACCGGTCCCTCAAAACCCAGGGATTGGTTCGACCCTGGACCCGCTCCATATGGGGGTCCATGAGCTTTTGGGTAGATTCATTCTCAATGGCATCACTATTGTCCAAAGCTTTCCGTCGGTTCACGCCAGCCAAATCAGCTAGTGCCCACCACTCCTTCTCATCTTCAATCAATGTCTTTCCAACATCACCACCGTGTCGCTCTGGTCTTCTCCTGCCTGTGAAAAGCAGGAGCACCTGCGCATCGCCCAGCAGCTGTGCCGCCTCGTCCAGCGTGGCGGAACACCGCGCGGACGGAAGCTGCTCCATGGCGAGGGCCGGTGTGGAGAGGCAGTGGACCGAGGAATGAAGCTGTTGCAGGTTCATCGAAATGAGAAAAATAGAATAGATGGAAAGATGTGAAAACATGAACAACAATAATGACTTTGTATATATATATATATTACTGTGAATGTGCAGAGTTTCTTGATCTTGATCAAGAGCTCAAATCTCTTGAGACCTCGAGCTCACATATCTAAATGTGCAGTCTGTCATCGCTGCGCAAGTCAGGTCAACGTGACCTGGGTCATTGGACCCAGGTCCAGGTCCAGTCTCCTGAGAAGCGAAGCATTGCAGCGGTATTTTTGTTTTCGGTTCAAGCGAGTTGCTGTCCAGAAATCTCTGACAGGGCTGGTGGACTTCAAACCACTCTGCAACTGCAAATAGAGATGAACTGTATTGAACTGTAACAGTTTTCCACCTCTAGAGAGGCCCGTTTGGCCCGGCATGCCATGTCCTTCACCTGGGTGCTCGCTGGCCGACACGTCGCGTGGTCACGGCTCCTCGTCCTTGCGTGCCTCCTGCGCTGCCTTCATCAAGGCGGGCGGTGCTGGGACTGCCCGGAAGGGCTTCCTTGGGCTCTGGGCGTCGGAAAAAGCTGCGGACGAAGGGGCTGGAAAGAACAGTTTGAATGGGGTGGAGAACACTTGGGACCACACCGCTTGGGACCAGATAAGTGTGTTTTTTGGACCCCATCGCCCTGCGGTCTTCCCCCTGCGATGGGAAACGAAATGGAAGGATTCGATGTTCGGGATGCGAACCTTCAAACCGGATTGTCGGTTGAGGTTTTGAGCTACACCCAGAGCTCTTCCCAAACTTCTCATCTGCCATGGACGACGACTAAAGACGCCGAGCTGCTCGACCTCTCGCCTGAGGCAGAAAAGGATGACATGCACTTAGCTACTGGTAGCTTCTTGCTACTAGTAGCGATGCACCTTGTTAAACAAGTAGCTTCTTGTTACTAGTAGTAATGCACTGAGCTACTAGTAGCATCTTGAGTGGTGAACTATCTCCTCACAGGCAAGAATTCAAAAGTTCTTCACCATCTGACCATCTGTGCTTGACCATGCTTTACCCTTAGCAGCAAGAGTTCGGCACAAGCTTCTCAGCCAAAAACCACTCTCCAACGAACTTAACTGCAGCCACCTACGTGACCACCTTTGCAAATCATGAACAAACCCTCTTCCCAGGGTTCCCACATCCCACAATGAGCATGCGTTTACAGTGCCTTTCGTTCATGACTGAAGCCAACCAACAGGTCAGCCAAATGTTTTCATAAGGTGGAGAGCATGAGCATAAGCTCAAAAAGACACCCAACAAGGCAGCCATATGAGCAGAGCAAATTTCCACCCAACACACGCCAAAGCCACATGTTTACCACCTTCCCTGCCTGGGATGCTTTTCGACTGCAGACTTCTCCACCTCCTTCTGTAGCTGGTGCACCAGCAATTGGCTAGGCCTAGCTGCAGTGCGCAGCCATGGCAGCGAAGAGAAAGAGAGAGAAAGAGAGAGGGACATCCCAGGAGGTCTTGGAAGACAAAAGCGATGTGCACTTTTGTGCGAAACTGAGACTGGGAATTTCCGAAGAAGAACTCTATGCATTGTGGCCATGGACCATGACTCTGTCTAGAGGATAGGTCTCATGGTCTCATTCAGAAGAAAAAAAACGTTCTGACATGAAACCGGGGGTCCAAGCCCAAGCTCAAGAAAATCGATCGTCTAAAATGTGATAAGATTTGATTCAAACAACAAACCTTGAAGGCTCTGGGGACGTGATAATTTTCTCCACAGAAGTGGATATGCCAAAGAAGTGGCTGGAATGCCAACACCTTTCTTGAAGGTCTTCCAAACTTCTATATATCTTGATAGAGCTGGCAATGAGAAACCAGAAAGCCTGCACGCGTGCATCTTGGCAGGGTCCATGTTAGTCTTCAACGGGGCAAAACATCTCTCGTAGTCACTCCGTCTCCACTCAACGAGATGTGTGAAAACTGCGTGGGCTGCGCGGAACTCTCCGCGTCCCCGGCCGCAGCCCAGAGATGGTGTTCCGGGCGGCCTGGGCAGTCGGGCAGAGCATGGGCAAAGGCTTGTCTCAGTGTCTCAGTTTCCAAGCACCAGAGATCATGGTGGTTCCAGGCGAAAAACAACTCTAGAAACAGGGTTGGTTCTGAGGTGATGATTTCCTCCACGGAAGTGGATATGCCAAAGAAGTGGCCGGACAAAGGAGTCTTTTGCAGGCTTCTTTTGGGGGGAATCGCTTCAAGGCCATGTTATCCTGTATATAGCTTCCAGAGGAAAAGAAGTCGGTGAGATAGAACATTTGTTCAATATAGTATAGACCACAGCTTGTATAGACCACAGCTTCGATAGGTTCCACAGTCCACATATCAAGAGTATTCAAAATGTTGTTTCAAGATGCTTCACCCCGATTGTCTCAGCACTTGAAGAAGAGACTTCGTGCTGTTCTTGATGATCCAAAGGTTCCCCTCTGTACAGATAACTCAGCTTGCTGCACTGCTCTCCTCAGGCTTCCGACGAGATTCAGGGACTCCTTGATGGTGCGGCAACATTCATTCCCAGCTGAACATTCCCACTGATTAGGAAGACTTGCAGGAAAGCAGGCTTCAACCCCATCCAAAGCATCATTTCCTGTACGGCCTCTGAGATCCATTGAAAACAGGTATTTGTTGCTTCCCATCAGACCATGGAACTCGTTCCCATCTGATCCAAAAAAAACTACAGTACTCGTACGGAATGTCCCCACCTGCCTGGGGCCTTTCCAGGTGAGACACGTGGATTCGAAAAGATACGTGGCAAAAAAGAATCCGAGAAGCGAGAACCGAACAAGTGAAAGCAACGTGGCAAACAAACAAAAGTCTCCATCGAACTGCACGAAGTGTTTTGCCGTTTTTTGTGATGCTCAGGTTCTTCAGCGTCTTCTATCGACAATCGACAACTTGCAGCGCTTCAAATGTCACTGGCTCCAGTCTCTTCACAGAGCATGTCAACGAGCAGCAAAGTCCACTTTGAATCAATCTTCTTGATCTTCTAGCAACCCAAAAGGACTCCCCAGGACCCCGAGCGTATCAAAGAAAAAGTATAGACTTTGCGGACTTTATAGATGATGTTATGGTACGATGTATCTCTTTTTGATACCATAAGCTCAGGTCCGGCACTATTGCTCTGCTACACTGCTACACCTTAGCTGGAGGGATGTTCTTCACACAAAAAGAAAACAACTGATACAAACTCAAACTGCTCCCTTTCTATCACACAAAATCAAAAAGAAAACAAACGTCCATCAATGTCCATCCAACAGAAACCGTAAACCACGCTCCTGACGTCATCTGGCTGCGTGGCGCGCCCACCGTGTGCCGCTCCACCGGCGTCCCGTACCGCGGCAGCGCCGGCGAGGTCGGTGGCGCCCGCAGGGGCGCGCGCGACGGCGAGGGGGCCGTCATCGGAGTGCGAGGAGGCAACCTGGAGGTCGAGGATGGAGTGAAGATCATGATTAAGCATGTAAAGTCAGTTCACGGACGTTCTATGGACCATGGATGATACTTCAAAAAAACATGGTTTCTAACATTCTCGAGCTTTTGGCGTAGACGCCTGGTCGTTGCTTTGGACACAGGGCTCGCCTTGGACGGCGATATCTGCTGATGGCGATGACATCGGAAATCTTGATCATTCGGAACACCCAAGACATTGCATCCACCACGCTGAGACTGACCCACGCTTGGATCTGAGTATTAATATTAAACTAATTTAAATTATGTATAGTATGTGCTTGTATGTGTTTGTTTTTGTTTTGGCTGGTTGCAGCGAGAAAGGACTAAGTAGAACGCTGGTTCCAAGTCTTCTGGCCAGCTCTGTGATCCGATGCAGGTGCTTGTGAAACCAGATTTAGAGACCATAACCTCAGAATGACCGATGCCTCATAAGCTTCTGAGTGCCCGGCCGGGACAATGTACATGGCGCTCGGGACCAAGGTCTTTGCAATGCACCGAGCAATTATGAGATCAATGCACCGAAGCCATGAACACAAGTCTTGTGGTGACGTCTGGAGCTGCGCACGATGTCCATCGAGAAACGTCTTGTGTCGAGACTGTCGAGATGTCCATCAGGGCTTTCCTTGAGAAGGCCTCATCCAAATGAGTCACATGTCACATGTCGTCGATTTTTCCCGCTCGAACACCGCATGTCGCATGTCGGGCATCCATGATCCACTCATCTGCGGAGCCATGTCTTCGACCAAGCGAGGCACCCCACGGGCATACCAGGAGGGATTTATCCCAGCCGCATCGAAGGGAAGTGTCATGGTCATGGCTTCATGTGAGATCACGTGGAGAAGGGTCTCATAGACGAAGGTACCCACCGAGTTTCTGGCTCCATGGAGTTTCTGGCCGCTCTCTTCCCTGTTGCTCTGGTGGGCTGAGACGGTGGTCTTATGTCTTGATCGGACATCATGCTCGCAAACCCAGACGCACCCACCATACTTGTGGGTCCGCAGGCAGTTGGGAAAAAGCTCTTCGGGGTGTTGTGATGTTCAATATCAGAGGCGCTCTTCTCAGGCTTTACGAGGACTTTTGATTGGAAGCAAATCTTCTTGGGAGCCGTTGCGTCTTGTCTTCCAGTTCGACACATCCTCACCAACCCCCCTCAGACTGGCACCTCAGCCTCTCTTGCTGCGCTTCCTGCAGGAGCGCTCAAAAGTTACTGTAGCTGGTCTGAAGAAACTGAAAACTGAAGAAATGCAGAAATCAGCGAAATGACTAAAAGCTGTGGGCAGTCGGGCAATGTGGACTCACCTCTTTGAGATGCACTAGGCTGCAATGTGGTCGTTTGGATGGTCTTTCTTGTGTTGTTGGTTTGGCAAGGTACCTACTATTGACATGTATGCTCCTGTACAGGCGCACAAATGTATCATGAATCACTTTTGGCTTTGCAAGGCCATCGAAACCAAAAGCCACAGAGGCCACAAACCGCCAAAGCCACAAAAGCCACGAAACCAACACGTAGAACAAAAACACAAATGCAACAGAATTCAACAAAGAATTGCCTTCCGATACACTACCCCCCACTCACGTTGAATTCATACCTCGGCCCTTGTTCACTTCTTGCTGTCTTTTAACACAGGGATAGGGGAGTGGGAACTCTCGAACATCCAACGCACCATCAATAGATACCAACGAAAGCCTCGAAATGCATCGAAAGCCTCTGAAGAATCTGGGGTCACATCTCTCTGTCTCCACCAAGCCTCTTTCTGCGCATGGCATATCTGGCATCCACCTTCCCGGTCTCCTCCTGCCGGACAGAGGGGTGTTTCAGTTTGACTGGAAGGACACCGAACCAAAACACCACATGGAGCAGAGAAATCTCAGATACTTTTTGCACACCATGAATCCAGCTAATTGACGCACCAACCAAAAAGACTCGAAATGACACCAACAAAAAAGACGCAATCCATACCCCTCCCCTTCGGAAAACAAAATAAAGAGAGAGAGAGAGAGAGAGATCCCCCCCTTCGACCGTGCCACCGCCGCCCTTTCAAGGCCGTTCCAATCGGCCACCGTCCTCCGCCTCGCTGGCATCGGAGTCCTCTCTGGGCTGGTGACATGGGGGAGGGGTGCTGGCTATCGTCAGAATGGGGTTGGATTTTTGTGGGATGTGGATTGACTTGGGTGGGCTGCTGGCTATAGTCCATATGTCTGTGTGAAGCCGACTTGGCTGGTGACAGTGTGATGACCCGTCCGCGGTCTTCGGACCTTTTGAGAAGACGGGACCTGCCATGAAAGGTGGATGTTTCATGGACCCGAAGACCCTGAAATTGTTTCCTCCACAAAAGGGAGAACCCTTGTTTTTATAGTTTGCATGATGGCATGATGGTTGGAGGGAGGGTCAACAAAAAGTCCAAGTTGTTCTGAACATACCAGCTGTTCTGAACAGTGAGTCTTTTCAAATCAGGGTTCCGAACCCGTCTCAACCGACTTGGACTGTTGGTGAGTTCGGTGACCCCATTGCATCTGTACCAATGATGTCCGTAGCCCAGGGACGGACCAGAAATGGGGTCGATCTGTCCCTGGCACCGCATGGAGACCAAACGATGCCAGGGACGGACCTCTGGGTATTCGCTTCCCATAAATCAACCAACTAAGGGCCGGCCAGTCGGGCCATGCTATGACACCAAGCCCCGAAGATGGTGCGAAGACCGACGCTTCTCGTCAGCTGGGAATTTCAGATGTTCTGAGGCCGACGACGAACGCACAAATGGCCCCTTAGCACGGCTCGACACCGATCTTCAATTCGCTTGACTCACCCCGGATGCCAACTGGATTGAGGCAAGGTGTATTGATTGAATCACTGCAGTTATTACGTATACTTTGTGTTGGGACTCAAACTCCAAGCAATCCTAAAACCATCGGAAGTGAACAGTCCTCAACCGCCACTGCTTTTCTTTGGGTTTTTGGAGGCTTTGAAGGACAGAAACATGGATCCTGTCACATGTCCCAATTTCACCACCCACGGAGTTTGGATGTCAACTGTTCCACATTCTTGTTGATGCCCCAGAAAAAAACTGGAAGTTGGGAGAAGCTTCGTAGAAACCACTTAATCGACCAATCCTGGGTCAGAGTATACTTTTTGGTGGGGCTGTCTCCAATAGGAGGGCTGACATGGGAAACAAACGAGTCATGTTCACCCATGGACGATGAACACATGTGTTTTGTTGATCCAATCATTTTGGAGATCGGTTTTAAGACAATTTAAGACATCTTGTGGTGCCGACGACGTCCCCCTGCAAAAGCGGCACAAAGAGAAAGCAAAGGGCCTCCTCGTCTTCATCATCTCCATCATCCTCCTGCAACGGAGCCAGCCATGTGTAAATGCTCCGCTGGTGAAAATCCAGGTGTGCCAACTCCATAGCCACCATCCTCCAGACTGCCCAATGGAGAAGTTGGGAGGAATTCAATCCAGTGAAACCAAAAAAGACTCCATAAGACTTCACCGTCAGACGCATCCGGACCGGATGCTCGCACCCGACGCGTCGCTGAGACGGCGCGGACGCACCGTCGGTGGACTTCGCCAGCTGCATCGTCCAGAGGCACCGAGTCTGGTTGGGACTTGGCCAAGACACCCCAAAACCAAAGAGAAATCAGCCAGGACCCTGAAATCAAGAGGGGCTGGACCGGGTTGGAGAACCCTTCTCAACTCCCCATCCATCCATCGATCAGGTGGATGAACATGTGCGTCTCTGGGGTTGACTCCACATCCATCGGGTCTCGCCTTGCTGCCGATCTTCTTCAACTTGGACCTCAGTGTTTTCTACCGTGGAAGACTCAGAGGGATCAACGTCAGAAGAGTAGGAAGCAGTCGGGATGTTACAGCCTACCTCAGCCAAGATGTATAGACATGGCAGCACCATGAATCATTTTCTGAAAATGGATGGGTGATTCTTCTTGGATCGTCCGTGCTGAAAAGAAATGCCCCCTTCTGGGCTGCCACACCCTGGGCAGGATTCTTTTGGGTGGAGATATCAAGGGAAGGTGTCAAGGCATCTAAACATCCACTGAACCGCATCCTCCAATCTTCTAGTTGTTTCTGTTTCTGTTTCTGTTTCTACGTCTACATCTACGTCTTCTTCTTCTTCTTCTTCTTCTTCTTCTTCCTCTTCCTCTTCCTCTTCCTCTTCCTCTTCCTCTTCCTCTTCTTCTTTTTGTGCTTACCCTGTTCATACCCTCCCCTCAAGAAACATAGGTACCATTGCACTCATCCTGGCCCAATCAATTTGAAATTGTTCTTAATCAATTTTGACTCATATCGCATGGCCGCATGGCCCCCAACCTTCATTGTTTGGATCATCCCAACCTTCAGGAGTCCTGCTCGAAATTCATGAACCGAAAGGCGGCGGCGATCAAGCAAGCGGTGCAAGCGGGTGTTTGACGACTTGGAGAATCTAAAGAGGTTTATGTATGTTTATATAGCCTACCGCTGGAAAGACATCCCTTGTCTGCTCCATGTCGGGCGGGATTGGTTGGCAAGTCTTCCGCCGATTAACATCCTCCGGTCTTGCGATGTAAGTATGGCCGCATGGCCCAATGAAAAAACAAAAGCCACAAAAGCTCAGTTCATGATGTTCAAAGTTAAAGGAGCTTACTCATTCCAGGCACTTCGAACTTCGACCCATCGATTCTCCAGTTCGGGGATGCCCCGCCATCCACCAAAGCAGACTTGAAGAAACAACGCCGGCCCCGGAATCCACCCACCTGTCTCGCCTTCATGGCCCTTGCCCAATCTTTCGGCCAGGTGGCTCGAACTGGGCAGCAGTGATGCGTCCACGCCGGAGCTTCTTGGCCAAGGTCTCCTGGCGAAGAACCAACCTCCGACCTCTGTTTGGGTGCGCTGGAAAAAGGGAGAGATCACCGAAACCCGAAAAGAAATGTAAAAAACATCGTGTTTCGTGGATCTCTTCCATTGCTTTGTCCCAAAAGCATTCATTGATCACCGTCACTTACTAAATCTTCGACTTTCACACCGGGGGGCTCTTCAGCCACCAGCTCCAAATAACCGAAGCGCCGAACCGTCCGAACCGACGGCGCTCCTCAGCCGCCAAGCTGTGCCACTGCTCCTCGCGGTCGTTCCGCTTGGCCTGGCGCTTTTGCGTCCTGGAACCGGCGAGTTGTGAAGTCGATCGAGTCCGCGGATGGAAGCTTGGTATCGGAAGAAAAAACAGAAAGAAAAAACACAGAATGAAAAAAAGGAGGGCAACAAGCAGGTGTGACTGGTTGTAGTTTGTGGATGTTTTGTTGAAGGTGTTACACCATGGACATTGGTATGTTGTCGAAATGTATGTTTTCAAAGAAATTTGGATGAAAAGCATTCCACAGGACGACGCCTGCCCGGGCAGGGATGAGACTTCCCGAAATCCCATCGCCCTTGCTGTGGAAACCAAGAAAAATCTGACAGGGAGATCAGCTTCAAAAAGGACAATCCATGACCCCAAAACCATTTGTTGATTTCTGCCATCTTGGGTCATTTAAGCACGGTTTGTCCACATAAAAGCACGTCAAAGCCGCATGAGAAGCACACGTCTCGCTGCTTCTGCCACACACGATCTGGTGGCAGGCCTTGTCCGGTTCTTCTCGGCTTTGGCAGCGTCCTCACGCTGCAAGGGGATCAACTTGTTCCCTCCTTTGATGGACCTCCAACCTACTAGCGATGCCCTCCAATCTATTAGCGATGGCCTCCAACCTGTTGGCGATGGCTTCCAACCTAGTAGCGGCGGCCTCCAACCTGTTAGTGCCAAAAAGGCAAAGCAACCGAGGCAACCGGCAAGGCAACCAGCAAGACGAAAAAGACAGCGCAACCAAAAAAGGCAACCGGCAGGCAAGGCAAGGCAACCGGCAAGGCAAAGAGGGAGTGCCCACTAACCGAAACTAGTTGATCCGCAAGGTAATGGCCAGAAGGGGATGGGAGGGGTGAATGCGCACCAGGGGGTCCCTACTGGTGAGTAGGACGCAAAGCTAGCTATCGCTGTTGGTAAATTTTTGATTGACCGGGAATTGTGTAGTTGAGAGGGATCAGTGGGGTTGGGTTGTTGGAATCTGAATCTATCTCCCTGGAGCCGGCGTCTTCTTGCAGGCAGGAAGCAGGCGGGGAGGCGGTGTCTTCTCCCGTGCCGCGTTTCTAAAACAGCTTCCGCGGGTGGGTCTTGCATTGAGGCATGACTGGAACTTGCAGTCGCGGATATTGACTCCACTTCAGCCGCATCTCTCCTGCCGGTCTTGATGTGCTGGCCGCACTCGAAGAGGCCCCCGCCTGTCCTTTCTGGGCTGATGGTTTCTTCTTGCGCACATTGGACAGAGTTGTTAGCAATTTCCACCTGAGCCGATGTTTTTGCGCGCGTTATAGTAGTGGATGCGAAGGAAGTTTCGCAGGTCAAAAATCACACATGCCTGGCGCAACGCTTGTCTCAAAGGGTCAGCGCCCACAGCTTCGAGGCCGGCTGACGCTGGAACCCTTGCCAGCGCCAATACTCCCTGGACGCTGGGACAGGGCACAGGTAGAGCTTTGCTACCTGTTGCTGCCGCGCCCTATCCTGGCGAGCAACGAACAAGTGGGACGCGCGTGGAATGATGGTTGAACAGAGTGGTTTGCGATGGTCAATGGTTCAAAACACCGACGGTAGGTTAACAACAATTCTCAATGACTGTAGGCTCACCGTCATGGCTAGTGGTTGAGAAAATCATCGCAATCAAGATGGCAAATTTCAACAAACCACCAATGAGGCTTGTAATTTGCAATAAATTCTATGGATGGTTTGCTGCTTTAGGATGTCTTTGGGTTTGACTCAGGGCTTCACTTCTTTAGGGTCTTTTTTGGTTTTGCTTTGGGTTTCACTCCTTTAGGGTTTCTTGTGGTTGGGCCAGAAACCAGTCCCCAGAAACCACTTCCCGCCACGCGACAACGTCAGCGCAGCAAAAAAGTGGTCTAGAAGGAAAAAGTAAGAGTGGTAGTAGAAAGAAAGCTCCAAAGCCGATGCCGGAAGGCGAAGCACAAAAATGGCATGCGTGTGTAAACCGCCTGTCTAAAGTAATGTCTGCTGTGGTGAGACGAAACTGAGCGTCCGGAACAGCTGCTCGTACCTCCTCCAATTCTTCTTCAACAACATCAAAGCACGAGGCGAGGCAGTGGACAGGAAGCCAAGGCTGGAAGAGACACAGTGGTACGCCTCTTCGAACTCTACCGGTAGCAGAGCCTGCGCAGTCAAAGCCGCTCTCACAATCCGTCGCCACAAACCGATGATAACAGTGGCGTGGCCTGCGCACCGCCAACTTGCACTATTTAGACTTGCGAAACACAAAAGCCTCCCGTATCGTCTTTTTGGGGGGGGGCTGTAGAGGCGAGGTAGGTCAGCTAGGTTGGACAGTGTTGTCGTATGCCCAGAAACCACTTCCCAGAAACCAGTCCCCAGAAACCACTTCCCAGAAACCGGTTGCCAGAAACCACTTTCCCAGAAACCAGTCCCCAGAAACCACTTCCCAGAAACCGGTCTGCAGAAAACCAATTTCCAGCCAGAAGCCACTTCCCAGCCAGAAACCACTTCCCAGGGACCACTCCCCAGAAACCACTTCCCAGAAACCAGTCCCCAGAAACCACTTCCCAGAAACCGCCCACCAAAGACCATATGACCCGCGTTCTGAAACGATCCGAACGCGCGTTCCGAAACGAGCTGAATTCGCGTTCCAAAACGAATCGGAGGCCGGATCCGTCCCCTTTCTTCTTGACGCATAACCCTTCCTTTGCGATTAGCGACCCTTCTTCTTTCAATTGGATCCGTGAGCCTTCTGTTTTGACCTACATATCTCGTGAACGAGCACCTTCTACAGCCACGACTGCGTCAAGCATTATACAAAGACATCTGCTATACACTGAAGGGCGATTTTTTCGCAGGGCAGGAATGCGAACACATTGGATCTGTTTCTAGTAGACCTTGCCAACTCTCGGCAGCACTGCTACCGCGAGCCCTTCGGTGGAACTCTGTTTTCTGGTTTCCCCAATGGTGTCCACACACATGTCTAGTGCAAGGTGTCGAGCCAGCACCTTTCAAAAAGGGTGGACTTCATTGGGTGACTCACCAGCTGGCGCACGACTTTCTGCAAAGGAATCGCAGCCAAGGCTCGGTCGGAGTAGCACGAACTTGCGCAAACGCAGCTGGTAGCGACGATGTTGCCTCCAGTGCGCCGCGTTGGGACAGCTGCAATGGAGTCATGTGTCGTCAGTCTCGGCGCGATCGAACATTGGACGAAGCGTGGGTCGATCAAGGTGACACGGACTATAACTTTCGAGCAGACTTTGCCCCAACTGCATTCGGTTGCATCGATTGCGCCTACTGCTGCGCTTGCAAGGTTTCACGGCGACTACGCTTCGAGACGTTCCAAGGTTTGCCCCATTCCTCTTCGCTTGCCCTCTGTTCACCTAGACCTAGCAAAGATGCACCATACTCCGACGAACGCGCCCATTGCAACCCGGCCACTAAACGCTTTGGCCCTGGGGTGGCGCATACCGCGAGCTGCTTGGCATCGCCTTAGTGGTCGCGAAAGCGACAGAGGCGGCACGTGGAAGCGCTGGAACCCGCAACTGGGCGTCAACCCATGTCTGTCCATGCGATTGCAGGGTGTCGGACAAAGCTCGTCTTCAAAGCTCGTTCGTCCGACTCTATGATTGGATGCACAAGCGTTCAATTAGTTTGCCAGTGTGAGCAGTCACAAGAGGGTAGGTACAATCGCAGGGACAAGTTTCCCAGTGCAACCCAGGCACCAAAGGCTTTGTCCGTACTTGGGCCGAGCTCGGCTTTCGACTGGGCTTGCACTTTGGCGTCGCCTGGTCCGCGCGTTCTCCCACGATGCTGTGACACTCTAATGCCTTTTGGAAGACTGTCTCCACTGTCCACTAAATGCAGACTGCCTGTAAACATCAGACACAAAGCCCGGCTCCATTCTCCGCATGTGCACACGTGTTGTAGAAGACACAGTTTCTCACACCGACCCTTGTTGCACATCAAGCAGCACACAGCAAAGCCGTAGATCCCCTCATAGGTCCGCGAACCTCGCAATGGACGGCTGCCATCGACTTGGCTTGTCTACGACGTTCTCTCTTCCATGGCTGCACCATGCAACCTTGCAATACTCTGCAGCATGTCTGGGTGTCATGCTTGGGAACCACCTAACTTAACCACAGGCCGCTGCAACCGAAGCGCAGGCAGCTTCTGCTTCTTTGCTTCTTTCTTTCTACGCTCATCTGGTGCCTCAGATTGTGACAGTCCCATACAGGCAAAGACCTTCATTGGAATCCAAAACTCAAACTTCCCCGGATACTCTTCCATGTCTGTGGGTACAGTGCCTTGCCCTCCACACTCGCAGACTCTAAGACTCTTGCATGCCAAAAGTGTGGCTGCCCGCAAGGCCTTGACAAACTCTATGTTGGTTGGCCAGTGCTAATTACATGTCATTCCTGCAGTCACGTCCCTCAATTTGCGCTGCTACGGCGCGAGTCCATGCAACCTGGTTCGCGGGCTTCAGAGTACTTACATAACGCTGCTCGCACCATCCACGCACACTTTTAACCAGGTCCGTGGTGGGTCAAACAAAAAGTGTTGCGGGGTCAAAGACAACAGCAGGAACGTGGGTCAGAAGAAAAAGGTTGGTGGTCAAAAAAGAAGGGTCGTGGGTCAAAGGAATGGGTTGCGGGAGTCAAAATACAGAACGTGGGTCAAAAAGAAAGGGTTGCGGGGTCAAAGAAAACAGGACCGTGGGTGAGAAAAAAGGGTTCGGTGGTCAAAAAAGAAGGGTCGTGGGTCAAAAAGAAAAGGTTGCGGGGGTTAAAAAAAAGAACGTGGGTCAAAAAGAGAGGGTTGCGGGGGTCAAAAAAAAGGACCGTGGGTCAGAAAAAAAAGGGTTAGTCACAGAATGCTGGGGGGGTCAAAAAAGAAGGGCTGTGGGTCAGAAAAGAATGGTTGTGGGTCAACAAAAGGGGAGCCCTCTGCTCTTTTTCTGCTCTGGGCGTGCGTTGAGGTGCCGGTGCCTTGCCTTTCCTTTCAACCTATTAGCGATGGCCTCCAACCTACTAGCCTCCAACCTAGTAGCGTCCTTTTAAACAGTTATAGTATGTTATAGTCATAGTTCAGTGAACCGTTCTACTATGTTCTACTCATCATTGGATGCAAGGGACCTGGGAGTCCTGGGACAACTTTCCTTGAGCCGATTTGACCCGTTCACATCCGTCACTTCTCAGATGTATACAGCCATTATACAGCAAAACGAAAAGAATGTTGGGAAGAATGTTCAGCGCAAAAAGATTGCAGAAAAAAGCAACCCCTACTTGTACCTTCCTATGTACACCCCACAAGATGAGAAAAAAAAAAAGGATGGACATGCTGATGTGGCCAGGCTGTGCCCAGTGTAGGATCTGAAATGATCTGGATAGTTTGGCTGTGGGGAAGATGTTGAATCTCGAAGTCGGACACCACTGAAACCAAGGCGGCTACCACCGAACCACGGAAACCCTTTCGCCGCCTTTCCGTCCTTGGCGGCTTGCCTCACCTTTCGTAGCTGCTCCTTCTTCGTCTCTTCCTGCCGGCTGAGAGACCGGGTGCGTTGGGCAGAAAGTCCGACCGACCTCCTGCGAGACATGTCACCGATCCACCAACCAGAAAGCTACCGCTAGCTAGCGACACCGGGAAAAAAAAGAAAAAAGAAACGGCACGACACCGGGGCCCAACAGCCTCAGGACATGTTGAATAATTTCAATGCTGTGTACGAACCTGAGTGCTCTCACAGTAGGGAATCCGATTTGATTCACAGTCCTTGACTGGAAGAGCTGCCTAGACTGGAACAGCTGCCGCCCAGTCCTTGTTCTTCTCCCGCTCTTCCAGTTCCTTTGCCAGTTTCTCCTGCCGAATTAAGTCCAAGTCCAATGAGTACGTGGCTCACGGCCGACAAAGTAGCAAATGCGCGGGAGGGGAAAGGAGAGAGGATCGCAAGGGGTGAGTCCAAGTCTGCAAAAGCACGAGCATATTGTTAGTTTCAACCGCGTTGCAGCACCGGTTGAAAGTTGAAATATGAGAGGCGTTTGCTCATGACTCATTACGGTGTCTTTTCTCTTGCGCTGCTCGTTGCTGCCTGTTTTACTCCTTATTTGCTGCTGCTCTGCACAAGACAAGACTTGCACCCAAACTGCGACGGCGCAGGGGGGATTTGATCCAGGGAGCGGGGGGGCCCCCTATGAAGAAGAATCCTTCCTTACAGGGCCAAACTCCATGCACAACCCCAGATTGTGATACAGTTTTGCAAGCTACCTTTCGTGACAAGGTGTAGCTCATCTCGTCTCCCAAAGGGGAAAGAACCATCGCATGCTCAGCCATGCTCGTCAACCCTCCTGCTGCCACCACCACCACCACTACTACTCAATGAAGACCCTCACCATCACCAATATACCCAACACCCACCAGTAGCCACTACTCATTGCTCTTGGCCCATGCCTAAGGGCCGGTGTCCTTGCGTTGCTTCTCCTGCTTTTTGTTCCGGAAGGGCACTGACGCAGGGTCCACCTCAGGGTCCAGCGGTGTCTCAGTTTTTTCCCGTTTTTAGGATCAGTCGCACGTCTTCAAAAGTCCTCCAAACCGATATGCTGAGCACCAGCAAGCTCCAACAGGTCTCTGACATGGAGGTTCTCATGAACTAAAATCCCTGCTGGTGACCTGTTGGATGTCTGCATCCTCGGGGTCTGTGACCAAGCCTAAGCCCAAGCCCAAGGGGAAGCCCGGCACAGTTCCAGCCTCGCTTTGCTTGAAGCCACTGACTCGCTTGCCCAGGATCTCTTTGATGCGGGGTAAGCGCAACAAACAGTAGCCCGTTGCTAAATCTCCCAGGTCCAAATCCTTGAACGGAAAGAGGAATGGCAACTGGTGCTCCTCAGGGCTGTCTCTGGTATGGCTGCGAGGTGACTGTGTGAGATCTGAGCTGCGTTTGGTCTTTCCATGAAATTGCACAAGTAAGACTAAAGGATCCACCAGCAAATGTTCAACATGTTGGTATCGCTTACTTAGAGGGTTGTGATCTGTGCTCGTCATAGAAATGAGCTCAAATTGGTCAATTAGAGCATAGAAGTGGCGATGGTGAGGAGAATCCTGGGCCCTGAAGTCGCACCCAATCCAGCCTGATAGGCCCGCACGAAGGACAAAAAGGCCTTGGTGGACTTCAACATCACCGTGCGGTCCCGCTCAACCATGTGCTTGCACTTCTGCAGCGTGTTGGCCCCACTCTCCTCGCTAGAAAAGGCTTTCAGCTTGGAACAAATCGTTAGGCGGGGATGTCCAATCCAAAGTCTGAGGTGATGAAGATCTACTTAATTAATGTAAACGGTTGATTAATCCCACGCCCCACTTAGATTGTAAAACCTGGTCCACCTCACGCACACATAAAGGGTCTCACCCAGCCCTTATGTACAGTGTTGCCTGCATTCCACAGGTCAACAAGGGATTCTCCCAAGAAAAGGATCAGCACGAAATGAGATGTTAAAAATCCGTGTTGTGTTGTTGTATTTTCCAATTGACAATCTACATTACCATTAGTTGAGTGAGATGGGAAGCCCATCTTCATCGGAACTCTCCAATAGCCAGAGCCCATTCCTTGGTTCTTGTAGAAAGCACGGGGTATGTTTGCATAAAACCTCACAAGATCATGAATCATGTCCATTTGAGATTTGCTAAGTCGCACTTTGTCAAGGTTCCAAAAAGAACAACATCAAGAAAAACCATGTTCAACGAGTTACACTAACAAACCCGCATTTCCGGGCATGCTGGATGTGATTTTCTCACAAACCAACCAACCGTTCAACCGACCAGCCAGCCAACCAACCAACCGACCAACCGACCAACCCAACCCAAACTAACCCAGCCCAACCCAAACCAAAGCAAGCATTCAACAGGTTCCCGGATCGCGTCTCCTGGTCTGCCGCGAGCTCCTCAGGAAGCTGCTCCAGTTGGATGCCACGCTTCTCCAAGAAGGGCAAATACCCATCCTCCAGCCCGCGGGTGGGAGGGAGGTGGGCTTTCTGTTGGTTGGGCGGTGGGCGGTTCTATTTTTGTTGGTGCACACTGTGGAGGGTTCTTTGGGGCGTGCAAACTGCGAAGGGCGCATGATGGCGGTGCTTGTTTTCCGGCAGAGTGGAAAGTACGGGGAAGCCGGTCCAAGAATGTCCCGGATGAGACCGTTTTAAGCAAAACTCTCCTCTGAACCCCAAAACCCCTTCTCATGCTGCTGGCACTTCGCCCTGTGCGCGCCGTTCGCTGCGCGGTCCTTTCGGCGATTCGATCGGGTCGATCGGGTCGGGCGGATCGATCCCTCGCCTCGTGCGGCAGGAGGAGCACCAGCGCCTTCCCGCTCTGCCCGGCGCGCGCCGTGCGGCCGATGCGGTGCACGAAGGCCGCGGGGTCCGTGGGCGGATCCACCTGGGAGGACGGTCAGGGGCGAAGAGTGGAGCTCGGTGGAGCTCGAAACAGGTCAAGGGGGAGAGAAGTGACTTTGAGGTGGAAAGAGTGATGCTTCTGGTGTTTCTTCTAAAGGAAAGAAGAGGGTTTTGGCAGCTGGAGTTAGTAATTGTTATTCTCAACCCAAAAGAAGTCTCCGATTCTCCGATTAAGACTTGCAGGCAAAGACCCACCGCCTTGTCCACCGCTTCTGCTCTTCATCTCCCCACTTCCACCGCTTCTCCTGCCGTTCGCCTCTTGACCCTGGGCCCACCTGCACGATCCACTCGACCTTCTCCACATCGATGCCCCGGGCGGCCACGTCCGTGGCCAACAAGATGGCGCCCTCCTCCGGCGGAGACTTGCAGAACTTCTCGTAGGCCCGAGCACGCGCGGTCGGATCCTCAGCTCCGGTTTCGGGGCCCGGGCCGGTCGCGGGGGGAAAATGGATTGCGAAGACCGGTGAAGGGCGAAGGAAAGGGGGTAGGAGCTGTTCCAGACTTGAATTTGGAGGACCACGGATTTCATCAACAAAAGAACAAGAACAAGATCAAAACTGGCTTAAAATCTGCATGTACAAGCGTGATCAGAGCCTTCACCCACCTGACCAAAACAAAGAGCCGCTCGTCGGTCAGCCGACGTCGACCACGCACTCGCCGCTCGTTGATCCAAGTCTCCATCTGCCCATGCAGCTTCTCGACGCGAATGCTCTCCATCTTCAACTTCTTTCCCTTTGCACGCTTCACCTGTGACACAAGCGAAGGCGAAACGACGTGAGTCAGGGAGGGAAGCGGTTGCTGTTCGGAGAGTCATGTCATGTTTTGTCTCCCTTAAGTTGAGGAAGTCAGGAAGATCGAAAAGCTCCGGCCATTCGCAAATCCAAACATATCATATCTGATTGGCTCTCTCCTGGGTGAAAATGCGGATTCTCCCACAGTCCAAGAATTTGGTGGAGATCCCTGCAGGGATTATAGTCTAATTCTACTCAGTACACTTGCGATGATACTTGGGCTGTTACGGGTCTGGGGAAAAGCAGGAAAACCCTGGAAAACCGCAATCACTCCAACCAGGCCAGTTCGCGTCGATGAGCTCCCTCAGCAGCACGTGAAAGTAGTCCACCGTGGCACAGGTGGAAAAGAAGACAATGCTCTTCCCGCCTGCTGAAGTAGGCAGGTTGATGAAGGGCAGAGTGCGACAATGTCGCTGAACAATCAGGAGAGATGCTCTGAGGGAGGGCTTTAATTAAGCTTGCGACTTCTACAAAGCCAAGCAACCCCACTTAGGGAGGAGACTCCCTCCATTCACCACAGGTGTGTTAAACGGTCTATCAAACACAGGTACGCCACAACGCGGCCCCGTGACTCGCCTGAGACTTCGGGTCTTTGAAGGAAATGTCTTAAGAACCCCAGCCGTTCCGTTGCCGGCAGCTGCAAGAAGTAGTTGCTCAACTTCGTCGGCAGCTCGTGACTCACAGCCTTCCTTATAGGGAGAGGACGGCACGCAGGGCAGACACGACGGCACGCAGGAAGCAGGCTGAATCGATCGAAGACACACCCTGGGCCTTAGTTCGGCTCCCTCGGAAAGCGTCTGTGCGAACCTGCTTTGGAATCTGCTTGTTTTCTCTGAGTTTGGAGGTGAAAGGTCGTCCCATAAAAAGAGCATTCAAACAGGGGTTTGTCAACTTCCATGTTTGTCGCAGGGAGGGCATTTGTTCATTCCAAAGCGCAAAGCCCGTCTATGTGCTTGTCAATGGCTATACGAAAGGGTTTGTCCTTCCCTCTGCTGAAGCACTTCCACATTCTGGCAAAAAAAGAAACGTAGACGCCCAGTTGAACTGAATCGTCTTGGGAAGCGCCGACCGAGCCCGTCAAGGTCTCGCACGGGGTTTCCAAGGTCTTGCGGTGCGTCCGAGCTGTGGGGTGATGCGTTCGCCTTCAAACCATATTCCAGAAGGTTGAAACCCGGACCTGCCCGGTCGGACCGTCCAAGCGTCGTCTTTTCTTCCGGCTCCTCACACGTGTGGGATCAGATTTGGGGAGTCGTGCTGCAACATGGTGGTTCATCAAGAGGGCCAAGGGATGCCAAGGGCCAAGGGGGGGTCCAGGTGACATGTTCATGAAAAAGCCCGTTGCCACTGGACAAGAAATAAGTCCGCATGAAAGGGTGATCTCTCAAGAAACCTGTAGAAACCTGTAGAAACCTCTGGTTCGGCATTGGAAGCCCAATAGAAAATCCATCTCACGACCCGCTCCTCCACACTTCCATCCTTGATCGCTTCAGGTCCCTTCTTTCGGACCTTGAGGCCTTTCGCGTCTTCGGACTCGACAGGTCTCTTCAGACGCACGCAGACGTGCACAGGGTTTCTCATGCCAGCCTCAGTCCACCGGGGTGGCCCGGTGGGTTTGGACCATTGGCGAAAGCACCAATGTTCACTTGGTTCAGCGGGAAAGCAAGCTTAAATATACTTGGTCTGAAGATGTCTGAAGTCTGAAGGGTATCTTTTTCCCGGTTGCACATGCACTGCACCCACATGAAAGCGGAACACCTGCTCTGCATGTGAACCCTCCTTTTCCCCTCTTTCATTTTGGGCCACCTCAGACAGCCTTCATCCATCCACCATGCAGTCTGTATGCCTGTCCATCTTGTCCATCAAGGATGTTCAACGTATCATTTGCGGGGTCAAATCCCTGGAACGCGTTATACTTTCTGTGAGCGTTCTTGACATTTGTTGTTTTGAAAGCAAGCTTGTGTCTGGTCAAAAAGTTCCGAGCCATGGTCAAAGCAAGCCACCGAAGGTATGGGAGAATGACTTCATTCGGAAAGGCATGTTTGCAGCTTGGTATTGTCAACGGTCCACCCAACCCTGCCAACCGCAACTTTAAAGTCCCCAAGCTCACCCAGCATGCATCCCCCAACAATCTGCAGAACAATGCCAAGCTCCACCCCATATGCCCTACATCCAACAAAACAATCCAACAAAACTTCCCACAACCACACTGCCATCACCCCCTGCAAATCCACTTCCCGCAACACCTCGAGGCCCCAAACCCTCCAAGCAAGCACCCTCAAAATCAACCCCCTCACCTTTCCGATCCAACGATGCCCTCCGGCCTTCATGATCCGCTGCAGCTCCGTCGTCAGCGTGGCGCTGAAGAGCCCGGTCCTCCGCTGCTTGGGCACCGCCGAGAGGATCGCCTGGACGTCCATGGCGAAGCCCAGCTGGAGCAAACGATCGGCCTGACCACGCGGCCAGAGCGAGACGGGTGGGCGCGACGTGGCGCGAAAGGCGCCGGGGTCAGGTCGGCCGAAAACGAGCGAACGACTTGGCTGCTGTCAAAGCCTTGGCTGCCAGAAAGTGGATTAAAATGAAAGAATGCGTTCGATCGAATGGAGAAAGCTTGCGAAGCCTCGAAATTTGGTTTGGCTGTTTGTGGAGCCTCTTTTTGTCAACCAGTTTGAGCCATGCCTAGCACTAACCTGAAGATGCCAATTCGCTCCTTTGTCAAACTCTCTCTCGCCTCATCAAAGACCAGCAGCTCTAAGCTCTTCCTGAGTCCAGCTCCGAGAACCATGTCAACGACGCGCGACCGGCCACCCCCAACCCTGCCGGGGCAAGTGGCTTGACCAGTTCGGAACCCGAAGGGTGGCAGCTTACATGGGTGAGGTCCCCAATGGTCATTTTGACCAAGAAGTTTAAGACTGAACCCACGATCCTCTCTCAAGGCATGTCTTCCCTCCCTATCCTCTCTTCCATCATCCCCTTCCCTCACCATTTCCCAGCGTCATGTTCAGCGGTGTGTCCGCCATCTGCAGCAACGCCCGCAGCCGGCCCGGCGTCGCCGCCACCAAGTGCAACGGCACCGGTGGCGCTTCGGCACCGCCGAGACGCCGTAGCGCCCCGGCGGCGGCCTTGGCGTCGGAGCCTCCCACGCAGAGCTGCGCGCGAAGCCTGCGGAAGAGGGGGAAACGATGGGAAACGCGTGGACCTTGGGGTGATGAAGTTGAAGGGAACCTGCTTGTGGAGCCCACCTTCTCTGCCTTTCCGTGGCAACCAGGGCTAGACTCTCTGTGTTGACATGTTTTCAGTTTTTCAATCTGGTGCGTGACTTCCATGAGTTCTCCCCGCCTTTCACAGGCCTCCATCTCCGCAGATTTCAGGTACTTCCCGAAGACCTGGTCGCAAACACACCAAGACCTGCTTGTTTGGAGGAGAACGAACGTCACCAACGGCTCGTTGAAAAGAAACCGTCGTGCTCGACACAGTGGGTCTATCTTTCACGCCCAAAGAAAGGCCCAACAGCAGTCAGCTGGACCTCGTAGATCTGTGTCGCCAGCTCTCGTGTGGGGGCGATGATGGCACATCCCACCATGAGCTGCAAGCTGCCGGGCCGTCGTGAGACGCCCTCCTCGAGTGATCGGCACAGAATCTCGAAGCTGGGAATCAGAAAGGCCAAGGTCTTCCCTGAACCTGTGCAGGCCTGGCAAGTGGAGAGTTTTACTCGGCAGGCGAGTTGTAGGTTCACATGATTCTACATGCACATGAGGGACCTAACGGGTAAACGAGTGAAAAAAGTAAACCGGTGGGTGTGTCTGAAAGACGAGAAGCCCAAGACATGGGGGTTGGTGGCCTTCCATGTTCCTTTCTGCGAGCAGATTTCGAAGGGTTCTCACATCTTGAGAATATTCCGGTGTTGAGTTTAGCAGGAAAGTTGTTGATGAACCAAATCGCGACCCCAATGATATCCGTTTGGGAACAGAGAAGCCAGTACCAGGTACCATGCCTATTGATTTGTACACGACCGGGGTATCCCCTCTATTCATCAACCAACTATGAATCAACCCACCAAGAGTAAAAGGCCATCTATGCCCCAAACCCTGATTGACTTTTCCTCCACAAATTCCGGTCGGCCAAGTCATTGCACCACCTTCAAGAAGAACATGGTCGGATTTTTGATCGATCATCCAGAGGACAAAAAGGAGAACGGTGAAAAGGAACAACACATATCTATAAATGTGGTGCACAAAAATAGCAAAAAGAATGACACGCAACTTCCAGTCGCCAATCACAGAAAGCCTGACCTTCTTTTGACCTTCACATACCCAAGCCGCCCGCATTCGACCTGTCTCGCCCGCCACACGCAGCGACCGGCCAAAACAAGTCCGTCGAACCTCGACGGCCACGTCGCGTTGCTTCAGCAGCAGCGGGATGGCGATGGCTTGCACCGGCGTCATCCGTTTGAAGCCCATAGTCCCCACGAAGCGCTGCGTGCCCTGCCGCCAAGGCAGGAGCCCGAGGTCGAGGCCAACGTCCAAACCGCGCAGAAATGGGTTTGGGATGGGGAAGAACACAGGAACTTGGGGTGGTTCATTGGATGGTTTTGGGGGGGTTCGGAGAAGCACCGGGACCACTCCTCTATCAAAAGGCCAAGCTGAAGGAGTTGTGCGCTTTTGGAGGAGCTGGTGGAGTCAAGGTAGCGGCTTGGAGCCCGGTGGTTGATCCAAAAGCAAAAGCAAACAAGTCCATTGGTTGCACTGTTTGCGCTCCCCAGAAGTAATAGATAAAATTAGACATATGATGTCAATGTAATCAGGTAGCAAAACTCGTTTCTTCCAAAAGAACTGCAATTACCTGTGACAACTTACTATTGGGCGCCTTTGTTGTAGGCCCCATGGCCCTCATGTGACAGAGGCTCCAGCTTCCATCCTGACCCCTTAACATTCAAACAAATGCCACCTTCACCGTAAAACCCGTACTCTGCGACGTCTCTTCTCCAGCACCGACCGACATGTCAGTTTGCTTCGGTGATCGATGGATCTTCCATTCCATGCGTCGCCCCCTGAGGGTCACTTAGACGGTTCGCCCCCTGTTCACTTCGACGGTTCCAGTCGCCATGCGTCGCTCCATTGGCGCCTTTTGAAACACAGAGAGAGAGAGAGAGAGAGATTTTTCTTGCACAATCATACTGATGTGCTTTTGGACTGGAAGATGTTAGATGTTTGTAGATTCCCGTCTCCAGAAAGGCTTTTACATCTCCAGCTTTTGGCAAAACCTCCTACACCGTCTGAACTCACCAGCGGAATCTCCTCAGACACCGGCAGCGTGGACCAATCGCGTGAGGCCGCCATGGGCGTGGCAGGCCACGCCCCGAGCCACGAAGGACGCGCGGGGTGCACCGGTCTCTGGCAGGGTGTTGGGGGGTCGGCTGGGAGGTCTCGCATGGGTGGTGGGGTCGTGTGGAGGCCCCAAAAGAACGGAGGCAATATGTGGTCCTTCTTGGGAGAAGTCACAAAAAGCTACTAGGAACAAGTGCCACGCTAGTAGTAACAAGTGCCTTACTAGTAGAAACAATAAAGCATCGCTTCTAGTAACAAGTGCCTTATGGGAGAAGTCGGGGCTGTAAAGGTTTAATGAAAGACCGAAGTTTCGCAGAGATTTACTGTGACGCAAGGGAAACTCATGGTCCTAGCATCTATTTCTTGGGTTTTCACATTTCATGGTAGGGACTACCACATCAAGAGTGCATGGCTATAGTGGCTATGGAGTCAATGGGTCAAAGCCCTTGGGCCAAGATCGGCGATGAACTCACCCTTGTCAGCTCAAGGAGCCAACAGGACCAACGCTTTACTCAAGCTCAAACCCGACTCAACAAACAACAGACTCTACTCACACACGCCTCACCAACACTTCACTTTCCCAAGCTGCCCCATGTCTACACTACACCACTGCTTCACGTCTGCAAGAGTCCACATCCCTCAAGTGAAGAGCTCGGCAGGACTGCCAAAACTCGGCGCCCCCCAATGACCAGCTCCTCCACCGGCTCTCCCGTGGACCAGCTGCCGAACGGCTCCAAATGACCCTTGGGCACGGCCTGGACGTGTCGGGTGCCCTTCTGGTCGACGGTTTTTCGGCGTTTTTTTCGGGTCAGAGCAAATAGGATAAGTGAGAATATATAGGGACCCCCCCTGCATGAGAGGTGAATGGAGATCACCAAGTACAGGGGAGAGTGAGGCTTTTCAGAGTAAGGCCTTTCAGAAAGGTTTGGGTTTGGGTTTCGTGTGATGTTCATCCCCAACTGAGACAATATGCCCGCCCCTCGACTTGCCCCATTCGCAGCGGATGTAGTAAGGATGTAGTAGGAGGCGAAAGGAATTTGCAAAAATAATAATAAAAGAAAAGAAAACGGACCTCCACTGCAACAGAGTTAAACTCTAAACCAAGGCTCGATGATAGCCATCAAGAAACAAATTAGGAGGAAGGAAGGCACAACCAAAAGAGTTCATGCCCCCTTCTATATGTGATTGCGCTAGCAGAAACGACTAAAAAAGATGCTGCAGAGGCCCAAGAAACAGCAAGAAAACATGCAAAAACCATCCCGGAGTTCCCCCAAAAAAGAAGACCGATGTCCTCTTCCCAGCAGACGCTTTCCCCCCTAGCCCCAGCTCCCCCAACACTTGCCTCGGAGGCGAAAGAGGCCTCCAAGAAGGGCGAAGGACGAGGCTTCGGTGAAAGACGGACGTTCCGGGGTGGATTCCTTAAGTAAGGGCTTGTACTAGTAGCTAGTAGCTTCTTGCTTGAAAAACGACGGTTTTCAGGCGCACCACTTGCGGGTTTTCAGGGTAAGCCAGAGATCCTGATCTCCAGGAAAAATCCACACCCCCCAAAAAAAATATCTCAAACACTCCATGCAGCAGCAGGTGCTTTTTGATGAGTCCCCGGCCTCCAATAGCCAGGCGTAACGGACCAAAAGCGCCATGATCAGCGAGGGGGGTTGGGGTTGAAATGGATTGGAAAGACTGTCAGCTGCTTGGTTGAAAGATGGATGTCTGCCTTCAACTGAAGGAATGATCTAGAATAAGAGAAAGTACTGCAGTGAAATTCCTCGCGTTCAATTGGATAATGCTGCGTGATTCCAGCAGCTCGTGTATTCTCTGCTGGTGCAACAACTCTCATCTGCGGTAGGCTTTAGGGTGCTGTTGGGATAGTTTTTCACAAAAAAGGGCACGTGACATGCCGTGTTGAAGCTGTGGCCTGTGTGTACTTCATGCACCGCAAGCGCTGCGCGCCGCCGCGCTTCGCTGCGCTTTGCTTCCACTTCCGGCCATAGAGTCGATGAAGAACTGGGTGATCACTAGCTTCTTGCTCCGTTCGTAGTAAGGCCAGGAGCCCCTAATTAGTAGCGTCCGATCGCTCCCTTCGTAGCGATGCCAGGAGCCCCGAACGTAGCTTCTTGTGATCACAGTCTTCTTGAAGGTTGGACAACTTGGAGCGGTTACCACTTCCATGATCCGAATCCCATCAACTCCCCAATGTTCACCTCAAGAATTTGCAGCACTCCTTGGTCAGGTTTCACCGCGGGTGATTGTTTTTCCAGGGAAAACTTGTTCAATCCAGCAAATTCCTCTTCAAGTCCGCAAACTCTTTTGACTCGCTCATCCCTGCTGATTGAAGGCGCCCACCTCAGCGATTGATGGGGAACTGGCGCCATGGATGAGGAACCTTTTTGATGACCTGAAGCTCTTTCGGAGCCTGTCAAGATCGGACATGTGGGTCCGATCTTAGGGAGTTGATTAGATTCTCATGAAGTTGCAGAAAAAGAAAAGAAGGAGACCATCGGCCATGGGCAGGTCTAAGGTCCAGGGTCCAGGATCTTCTCTAGTTGGGAAACTGATGTACCATCAATTTGAAGTGTCAGTGTCGGGGATGAGCCGACAGACACTCCTTCAAAATAGCTGGTGATGCCGCCGAACATGAGTCGAGACTCACCATGTCTTTCAACCCGTTAGCACCCAGCTGCACAAATCTCTTGACTAAACGGCCGACTTGAGCACTCCAATCTTGGCCGAACATCCCATAAGCCCTCTTCCAGAATGGTGTTTTCAAGTTTTACATCTCCAGGTTTGGGGGTTGCTGCTTATATTCATCCACAGTCTATTAATTCATGATCTGTATAACTTGCATGGCTCAAGAAATCTTACGACGCTCAATTGATTGGTACAGCAACCCTCTCTTCTTCACTCGCCTCTTTCTGGAACACGGCGATCCAACAAGACCGGAGCCGCCCTTGTTCTGTCGGAACCCGCAACGGTCGGTCCCCAGAGCTCTGAGCCTCGCGACGCTGGCTGCGACCCAACTGCCCAGGCGGCAATACGGCCACACGTGCTCCGCGTCCGCCGCGCGGCTCCTCGGTTTGGGCGGTGAGGGGAAGGAGTCCTTCCAGTTCGGAGAGCTTTTTGGCGTTGTCAGACGATGAGTGTTTCCATGGTTCTTACAGGTCTCTGACTCTCGAGAGTGTCTATTTCGGGAAAAGCATCATCATCATCATCATCATCATCATCATCATCATCATCATGATGATGATGATGATGATGATGATGATGATGATGATGATGATGATGATGATGATGCTGATGCTGATGCTGATGCTGATGGTGATGGTGATGGTGATGGTGATGGTGATGGTGATGGTGGTGGTGGTCATAATCTTTGGCCGCCAGATGTAGGACTGGAGAGTTGGCCTTTAGAGCTTAATGATGCATGCTTAGCCTTCAGGAAGCTCTCACTGTCCCGAGACTCTCGACATCTTAGAGATCGCTTCAGGTCGAAAACCGAGGACCAACAACGACGGGACCCACCGACCCCGGTGAATAAACGAAGGGCAAACATCTGAACGAAGGAGAAGGTTAGGGCATTTCAGGTTTCGATTGGATTCCTTCCACCAAAAGTCGAGCCCGCAAATCTAATGAACATGGGTCTGCCACTGTTTGACTCTTTGACGTTGGGGTAGAACATGAGGTGCAAGCAAAGGTAGCCTTGATGGCGCATGATCCTTGCACTGGGATTCCGAATCTGCATCCACTCTGTCCCATTGTATTCCATCGTTATACAGTACATCATATTATCGAAAAATAATTTGATATCGACCCTTTATACAGTTGTGCATTAGCCTTCGATGGTCCACATGAGGCATCCTGGGGCCATGTCTTTTTCTTCCACAAAAAAAACCGTCCTTTGCTTCACCGTTTTCGCTTCTCCTCCTTGGGATCTGGTCTCCCAGACTGGAGCTGGCGCTGAGCTGGAAGCGGGTGTTGAGCATCAAATGTCCTGGCCGTCACCAACCTCCACCAACCTCTCGAAGCCACAAATCATCCTGGTTCACTAGCTTCCAGAAGTACCAAAAAATCAAGAAGTCTTCCGCAAAGAAAAGAAGTGATTAAATCCAAGCTCCGGTGCGCCAGGAAGTCTTCTTGAGCGGTGAAAAGTGCTGGTCTTGGGTTGGGAAGAGAGGGACAGAAAGTGAAGACCGGGGATGCCACTGGAGACAGAATGTGAGTGACCAAAAGGGTCATCCGACAGAAAGTGCGAAAAACTTCGAGGACGGCCACTGTCAGGTGGAGGCAATCTCTGAGGAGCTTAGCTTCCCATCCTTGCTCTTAGTTCTTTTCGAAACCTCCCAACGCTTTTTTTCAGCAGGTTTCTGCGTTGATTCTGGGTTACAGGAAAACCCTCCAAAATCAAAACATTCACACACGTTCAACAGGTGTGTGTTCTTCCTTTTACCCGGGGTTTGAAAGTACCAAAAACCATCCGAACCAAAAAAGAGCTGTTCCAAAAGATCTCCCGCCCGGGCAAAACGAACTTCAGACAGGTCCGTACTGCTCCACGAACTTCTCATCCTCACGCTTTACTGGTGGCGTTTCTCTTTGGCTTCAGGTGGCTTGGGACGTGAAAGGGTTCTCATTGTGTGGGGAAATTCAATGAGCCCAGAGGTTGGAATGACGTGCAAAGTCTTGCAAGAAAGAAAATGAGGTTTCAGACTTGAGGCATTCCTGGGTGCTGAAATTCTATTCCAGTCGTGCTTAGTCAACATCACTCAATTCACTCCAATAATTTCAGTCGCTGACCATTTTCACAACTTTCACACTGGTACTGTACCATGCATAAGGAACAACTTCATGTAGGATACCAGGAACTATTGAGCTACATGATCTATCCAAGATTTGCACTAGAAATCACTATAGAATATCTTTAAATCACACTGACACTAACCCATTGGATTACTTACATGGTTCTTTGATCTTCTGCTCTCACACACAAACCGATCACATACGCACGTTCAGTCGTTCAGAACGCGCTCCTGCTTGGCTGCCTGTTCGGCCTCACCTCAGGACATGAGTGTTGAGCATCGTTCTTGGGGGGAGGGCACCTCCGATTCACGATTTGTGGACACGTGTGGAGTGCTGAGTGCTCAACCAGTCTTTGGATGCATCTGTTCTCCATGTGCATGTCGTTCAAAAGACCGAACACTCGCCGTCCAAAAATTGGAAGCGCCTGATGCTGTCTGATGCGTCAAACCCACGAAACCAGGAACCTTCTCGGAAAAAAATAGGACCACGAAACCTGAGGTTGGTATACTCATCCAGCCGATGCGTTCGAAACCAGCCATGCTTCGAACGAACGTTCAAGGCCTTCCGAGGCCTTTCCCTTAAACAGTCCGACCTATCACAGGTGGACCGAAGAAGAAGAGGGCTTTTCACTGAAAGGACGTATCAGATGATCAGTTCGTGTGGAACATACACAACCTTTCTGGAGACCGTAATTGATGGAAACTTCACATCTGGTGGAACTGGCGTGTTTTTTGCAACCGAATTTGGATCCGTGAACGATTGGAGTGCCATGCTCCATGTTGACCTATGCCTCTGGGCCAGACTCGCCTCCTTTCACGATGTCCGTCACGGGTGCCCGGACGCAAGGCCCGCCTCGAGTTTTGTGGTGAAAGCCGTGGGGAGGTTTTCTTCGTGAGAATTCAGCCGGAAAAAAAAAACTGCAAACCCGATTTTTGGGGGTCTGCAGGCTTAATAGGGAGACCTCCAATGACCCTGGCTGGTCATGGCTGGTCGATTTTCGAAAGCGAAAAAAGCAAATCGGGACGCCTGGGAGGTCCCCTAGTTTAACACACACCCATTTGAATGCCTTTTTTAATGGTTCAGACAAAGCCACTGAAAACTGGACCCCACAACTCCCGTTTTCTCAGTGTCCAGCTCGTCGCTTTGGAGATCGCGGGAGTTGAGGTCGTACATGTCGGCAGCACCTGGGCGGTGGCGGGTGCTGCTGTGTCCATCACCATGAGGGCATCACCATGAGGGCATAGGGTGCAGTGTTCGTCCAACATGTAACACAGGATCTTTCAGAAAGGGAAAGAATGCTTTCATTTCACAGATCAAAACAATGATGGTACCCTCAAAGGGGGTCTCTACTCTCATCCCACACGAGCACGAGTTTAACGCTCCATGGATAAGCTCGTCGAGTCGTTCCAGGGCAGACGGTGCTCACGTAAAAAAGCGGTTTTGGGATTCAAAGCAGGCAAATCCTTCAGCTTGTCTCCAGGATGCTTTTTTGGCTCTGACTCAGTGTGGACAAATGTGGACCAAGAAGCCATGTTCCTTTCTGTAGATGCTTGGAGATGTTTGTTTTTTGGGGATCCCTTTATGTATCACTTAACCAATCGATGTTTTTCACACAACCACACAGCCACGTTGGGCCACACAGCCACGTGCACCTCCAGGCCCCGGACATTCAGCAGCCGCCCAGAGTTCTTCTGGGTCATTGGCGAAGTCATTCGAGGATCCCATCACCAGAACCTCAGCGAACAAGGACCTCGCTGGGTCAATGTCCGAACTCTTCTTCCATTTTCTACCCAATCACCGAACGAACGCAGCAGCCGGTGTGGAACGTGGCTTCCCAGCAGTGCATGGTTTGGTCAGCAAAATTCTCTTGGGGCCAAGGATGATTTATATACACTTGGTGAAATGGGTTTCCTATGATGACATGCAAAACAGATCAAACAAGAAAAGGTTCTCACCGAGATCAGCCGGGTGGTTCGAGTCCCCTCGATACTTGGAACTGGCATTTGCTTGGGGTTCGATTCCCCTTCAGGCTGGAGTCCGGACCAGGCTAGTTGGAACCGGCAGCGCTTTGGAGTTCGTTTCCCCTTGAGTTTTCGGAACAAGCGTTTCTGATAGGGAGGTGTCTTTCCTTCGCACCGGCCACTACGGGATTCAGTGGTTTCTACGCCACCCTTGTTGGTTCTGCAGGGGGAGGACTTTTTGCCGTTGCAAACGTACTGCGAGTTTTGCCTCGTCTGAGACCACCTGTGTCTAGGAGCCTCTTTGTATAAAAATCCCTGTCATTTTCGGATCGGCTCGCACCCTCGCGTCTGCGTGGGGTCAGTGTCACTTTGTTTGCTCAAGGGCTTGCTATTCATGGTTTGGGCTGCCCCTTCTTGGACCCGTATGAACCCGTCAAGAAGCTGGTACAGCCTCCGATACCGGATACCTGCGGTGTCCGATACCTTCGGATGTATGGTACAGCATCCATGTCAGACTAAACCTTCTCTCTCGGTGTTGGCGTCCCCACGGTGTTGGCATCACCTTCCCAGAGCCTGGGCGAACGGCGAACAGCGTGGCTCGGGCGAACACGGCGGCCCGACGGGTGAGAAGTTCGCTGCGCTGCACGACCCCGCGGGGTCGCCGAAAAGTGGCGGCACCAGGCTTTGGGGGTATCCCCTAAAGAATGAAATATGTATCTGTCTATAATATTAACTGTGACTAATATGAATTATGAATCAACAGGTCAACAGGGTACCTCCAATAAACATCTCCACCAGAGTTCAGGAAAGCTGGGGGCTGGGGCAAACCATGTTCACCTATTTTCACTCTTCAACGGCTCTTCCATGCCGTAATGGTCAAAGGCGCGGTCATATTGCTTCGGGTGGGCTTCCTCGGGCAGCGAAGCTGTCTCCTTCGACAAGCCAGGGCATCCACTGAAGGCGAAGTGTCCCACGATGGTGGTGGAACTGACGATTTTCAAGCTGGCCAGGGAGCTGCAGTCTCTGAAAGCAGAGCTTCCAATGGATCGCACGGACGCGGGGAGGTGCAAACTTTCTAACGAGCGGCAACCCTCAAAGGCGGAGTTTCCAATGAGTTTCAGTGATTCTGGCAAGGTGACCTTCGCTAAGGATTTGCAGCGTTTGAAGGCCTTTTGTTCGATCGAAGTCACTGAGTCGATTCTCAAATTCACCAGGGAAGTACAGCCCTCAAAAGCTGAAGTCCCAATCTCCGTCACTGACGGAATGCTTACCGAGACCAGGGCGCGGCACGCTTCAAAAGTACTTTGCTGAATCTTCTTCAGGGTCTCGGGGAGAATGATCTCGGTCATAGAGCTGCAGCCTTTGAAGGCAAGACGATTAATAAAAATCGCAGGATTCACGAGCTTCAAGCTGATCAATGAGCTACAGCCATTGAAGGCTGCGCTTCCGATATCCCTTACAGAATCAGGGACCGTCAAGCTGGTTAAGGAACCACAGCTTTCAAAGCAACTTGTAGGAATGCCTTGTATCTGATTGGGTAAGGTCACAGCGGTCAAGCTGCGACAACCTCGGAAGACAGCCGCACCCAGACTTCCAAAACCCACCACCGAGTCGGGGATCTTCACAGACACCACCTCTCGACAGCCCTCGAAGGCAGATGCTCCGATCTCCACGAGCTCCTGGGGGAGCTCGAAGGTTTTGAGGGAGGTGCAACCTTTGAAGGCACACTTGCCGATACGCTGCACCGAGCGGGGAATCGTCAGTGTGGCCAAGGAGCTACAGCCTTTGAAGCAGAAGTTCCCAAGCTTCTCCAAGGACTCGGGCATGGTCAAGTCCGCTAAGGAAATACAGTCTTCGAATGCATAGTCTCCAATCGAAGCGACAGGCTCAGGGATGGTCACGCGGAGTAGGTCACCGCAGCTGTCAAAGGCACGTGGCACCACTTGAGTCGCAGAGCTTGGAATGCTGACCACCAGTAGATCTTCCAGTTCACAGTCAGCCTCTTCTCGGCCTGACTGGCGAAATGCCAGTCTGACTGGCAGACGTGGGTTTTGGCCGACGCGAATCGAGCTTTTTCCAAACGATATATCCCTTGAGGTGGTGGTGCTCTCAGCTCACTTCCCTTGCGCCAGAAGACTTCTTCGGGGTGTGGAATCTTGCAACCTAGGACAAGCCGCCGTGCTGTGAGTGGTTGCTTTGTGATACATGTTGTTGTTTATGTCTAAGCAGTTGCGGACCCGCAACTTGAACTTGGAAAGTTTTTGGGACTGTAGACCACAACGTTCATGGGTCAACCTAGCTTGAAACTGAGCTGTGGAATCACTAACCACCGAGAAATTCCCAGAAACGTCTCGAAGCCGAAATCAAACGCTGGCATTTGAACAGACCAGTTGCAGCTGCATTCCAGAACATTGATGCGGTAGAGCGCCTGCACTTCCGACGTTGAAGAGATCTTTGCTCCAGTCACAGTGACATTGTTGTCCTGCAGCAGGTGACCTTCACAAATCAGCTCCACGTGGGTCATCTTGCGCGTCAGCTCATCCTTCGTTGGTTGCAACGCCTGGGCTCGGGGGCCGGAACTCGAAGAGACCGCTGGACGCCGCCACGCCGAAGAGGTGCTGGTGAGGTAGAACACATGTGGAAGAAAACCTGCATGTTGGCATGTTGGGGAGGGATCTTCAATTGTTAACCCGGGTTTACCCCCACCCAAACCTGGTTTAAGTAAAGAAACGGACTTTTTTGGGAGGATCATGGTGGATCGAAATAGTACAACGACCCCAAGAGACCTCAAATTAACCCAAGGTTAGAGAAGGCGTTTTTCGGGCTAGTGGGGCTCGTGTGTTCCACGGTGTCGCAGCTAAATGCGTTCCCAAGATTGGTCGAGGCCACCCACCACCCAAACGTTGACCTCAGTCGTGGGCTTAGATTTTTCAAAATATTGGCCTCTGTACTCCCCTCCAATGCTAACATGAACCGGGGGCTCCGTGGTTCTAAAGGAATGTTTTCCTTTGCGCCTCATGGGGCAGGGTACCCTGCATCATAGATCACTGTTCTTCCCCCCCCCTCGTTCTCCGCGCAGCCCGCCCCACACCGGTCGCGTCCCGATCGCGGCCTTCAGCTGTTCTTTCAACTCGGAGATCGTGGTCTCGGGCGACGCCTCGACCAGTGCCACTTCCCCACCTGCGGCGAGGTCTCGCGGCTGCGACCGGAACTTGGGATGCCGCAGAGGGACCGGTGGAAGCGATTTGATCGAAGCCTTGGGAGAACTCGCCCCATCTGATGCATGGCTTCTGGGAGAAAGAATTGCCTTTGATCCTCATGGGATGACTACAAGTAGGTCCAGTGAAGTATACCTGTGCGATCACTGCCTTGAACCCGGATCACATTGTGGCTCGATCTAAAATGATCCAAGCCACTCACCAACTGCACGGGAATCTTCATCATGGCGCGGATTCCGCAACCCCGGCGGTGCTCCGCAGGGGGGCCGCAGGTGTTCAGGGGAAGGCGAAGTCTTCTTTCTCTGTTGGGGTAGTGGCTCGGTGGCGACATTCCTTGGGGTTGCTACATATGGCATGGGTCCAGACAGAGAGAGAGAGAGAGAGAGCGAGAGAGAGAGAGAGAGGGAAAAAAAAAAAACAAAATAAAATAAAGAAACTGCAGTTGTTCTGCCAGGAGCGGATTCTCGGCAGTGTGGGTGAAGCAGCATCTGGAATCTGGCGTATGGCATCAATCTCCAAGAGCCAACAAGTCTTGCCGAAGTCTTCCGGTCGTGGAGAGTGACGCTTACCGGCTTCCCGGGGCTTACTGTCACTCCGTGAGCTGAAAGGGGCATGCAAAGACTTGGATCAAATCCCCTCCTCGAACTGGCGGGAACGACTGACAGCTCCTTTCAATATCCAATCATACTCAAGTCGATGAGCTTTACACAATGCCCAAGCAAAATGGAGGCGGATGGGATCACAAACAAACAAACAAACAAACAAACAAGCAAGCAAGCAAGCAAGCAAGCAAACAAACAAACAGTGAAGGAAAAAGCCTGGGGTATCGTCCTTAAGCCCGCCGAAACACCCAGTGACACACCCAATGATCAATGAGGGTTCATCCCGAAGCACTCATAGACTCATAGACTGGTCGAAATCTGTCCTTCAGGCTTGCCCCAACCTGTGACCAAAACCACTTGTTTCATGTCGCTTAATGTTTCTAGTATACAAAGATGTAGCAAGAATTTCCTGTCACACATGGGATCAACAAAAGGTTTCTAGGACTGAGAAGAATATGATCTCCTCGCCGCAGGTGGCTTCTTCTTGATGACCCTCCAACCCTCGGTATGGCCCCTCAAAAGACTATTTTCCTCTGCAAAACGGGGCCTTTGTCCACTTCATGTTTGTTGGAGGGAGGGAAATTCATGCCAAAGCCACCTTGTTTGGGAATTTCCTGGGGCTTCTCCGCGCTTAACTTCCTCCCCTTGCAGCCCAAGACGCAGCAAGTCTCGCAGGAGCAAGGAGACACGCGCCTCCGCGTGAGCATTGCAGGCCTCAAGCCAGTGAGAGCATGGGAGTGAAACTATAATGAAGCTCCAGAAATGGTGGAAGCTCCAGTCTCAGGCACTCCAGTCTTGCAATGGTAAGCAGTGGTAAGTATCATGTTGAATCATATTCCATTCCATATACCAGCACCATCCGAAGGGTGCGTTTTGGGTTTACATGCTTGATATGGAGTGTCTGGTATGGAGTGTCTATTCCTCTTGCACCGCGAGCCCGGCCCTTCTCTTCAACGTCCAAGGTCCCCGGGCGGTCGAGCCCGTGATCAAGACCTCGTTCACGAGAAAAGAGGTCCTGAAGGGGCGCCAGTCAGGGGTGATGCATGTAGACTTCAGGTAGCTCGGTGGACGAATTAAAGTCCGTGGTGTTCATGGCGTGGCACTGGACTTTTCCACGCCAAAACCAGGTTTGAATTGCTTCCAGTGACCTTGATGTCAAAGGTCGGAGTACCAACCCACCCAGACCCCCCGACCATCGTGTCGCGGCCGGATCCGTTGCTATCAAAGGCTCCCCACCACGAACTTCCCCTGAGGCAAGGGAGGATGCTGGAAAACGACTCTCTGGACTCTGGACCGACTTCTGTCAAGAATGGAACGAAGGCGTCTCAGCCGTCATAACTCGCAGGTTGTGAAAGGTTCCGGAAGGTCCGACGGTCCAAACGCCCCAGTCGTTGGTCCCGAAATCCGACGTCACCAGGCCTCCGCCTCCCAGCCATCTGTGCAGAGGTAAACCAGGTCCGGCATGGCTGACAGCCTGGAGGTGGGGGATCTTTTCGGACGAGGACGAGGAGCGTTCACAGAGGCTACGGCCCCCACCTTCGAAGGCTGGCCAGCAAGGACTGCCACTCGGGGGAGACCTGCCGCCGAGGCAAAACAATCGAAGGACGGCAAGAAGGGTGGTTTAGGAGAGAAACCGATTGTTGGCGGCCAATTCGCAATGATCAGTTGCCATAAAATCAACATCATAGACTTCAAATACGCTCGATGATTCCAAAACATTCCATTCCCTCCGCATGGTGCCTTGGATCAAAAGCTCAGCTGATCTACCATGTACTCAAAGAAAAGCACATGAGACATGACCCGTGCTGTTTCCGCTCGTCAGTATGGCCTGTTCAGGAAGGCCTTGTGCGGACCTGCACGGTCTTTTTCAGAGCCACCAGCCCCAGCGTTGATGTGTTCGTTGGGATGTTCGTGATGATTTGGGGGTGAAACAGTCAGCCTTCCTAGTCAGGGCAAGCCCTGCCCTCGCAACATCCTCGTCTTCTTTTGGACTGCGGTGCAAGTCCTTGACAGAATTTTGTGCCAGGATCGATCAAGAGGAGGGAGGTCCACGGTCCTGCTGTGCATTCTTGATGACTTGCATTCCTGCATAGAAGTGTTATATAAGTTTTAGACCAAACTTCCTCTCACAAAACATCATAAAGCTGAAGAAGTGTTGACCCCTGACCCCGGACGTTTCACCACTGTCCCTGGGGTGCCCGGGCGGCAGCCCCGACAGCGCCAGCACCACGCGTCGTCGGAACGCCCAAAGTCCGCTTCGCTGGGCCCTGGGATGCCAGTCGCCCGAGGTCGTTGGGACGGGTTGGCTTTCTTTGGGTTCCATCTCGTCCCCCCTTTTCCTTCGATTCTTTGGGGTTCACAAGTCACTGACTCGTGCGTCGCCTCGGCGAGCCCCCTGAGGATCGGACACCAGGCACTGGTTGCAGTCGTCGCCTAGGACCCGCCGGGCCGGCGGGTTTGGAGGTGAGCGACGCACACCAAAATGAGCGAGCTTTGGTGGAGAGAGTTGAGAGTTTGGCACCCCATAGGTCCCTACTTCGTAAAAGGATATTGAAGTTGAGTATAAGAAGAAAACGATCCATCAAACTTGGATATCCTTATAGATTTGATATGGGATTCGACGGTGTTTCTTGATCCACCAAAAAAAACTTTCGATGCCACTGAGAGACCCACCTGGAGAATCAGATATGACCTCATTTTCTGGCAATCAAAATACATCAAAATACTACTGATCGTGCCAGCAAGGGGTAAGAGCCAGTTTGCGTCATTTGATTCCTGGCCAAACGGGCACATTTGGAGATTGTCACGTGGTTGCACGGGTTTCTTCATGTTTCTTTGATAGGGATGCCCTTAATACTTAATACCAGTATCTCTGAGCCTGGCAGGTTTAGCGCCTTGCAGATCTTGTGGTGGGGAGGCGACCAGGCTCACAAAACTTGAACACTCGCTTCTTGAACCTCACCCACCCTTTAAAGAGAAATGAAGTCTTCACTCCTCACCCTTCACTCCTCACCCTCCTCCCATTCCGCTGATTCCTCGCCCCAGTGGCTCACATTGCGCGGCCGATTCTCCGGCCACAAGGTGAGCGACCTCGACGCACCGCCCGCTTCGCTCCCCCGGACCGATCGACGGTGGAACACGGTGGAAGGAGGGTGTCTCATGTTCGGGGAAGGAGACCTCTCTGAAGTGGCCGGGATTTTCCTTGAAAACCGGGTGTGAGGTGAACCGATACGGTAATATATTTGTTTGGAAGATCATGGACATGTCCCCCGCAAAATCATGCCTTGCGTGATTTTGGACACCCAATGCCCCCCAACAAAAAAGGGGTGACCTGCAGGTCATCGACCGATGCGAAAAGGAAAAGGCGAGTGTTTTTTGTTTTTCAAGGAGGTCCATGTTAGAATTTCCAGGACACATCTGCGAAGCCGTTCGGTTGGAGGACCGTCGACAGGACGTGGTCACATCAATGCTGACCTGAGGAGCCCCACTCTGGACCCAGGTGCATCTCCGTGAGTTCCTGGAGATATCAATGGAGTTCCCTGAATCACTGAACAAACCGAAACCAGATCTGACGATCTGACGAAAGACGAGATCTGACGAAGTCCCATGGGTTTGAAGACATCTTTGACTTCTATTCTGGGAGTACGTCAAGAGTGCCACCCTCAAAGAGACGCATCAGTCACATACATCCAACGCAAGAGTGCCCTGTCCTGCACCCCCAGAGCCGCGCCCAAGACGAAGCGCCGGATGCCCTTCAAGGCCAAGTGGGCGGAGAACCACATGTCATCCTAGGAGTTCCCCGGCCACGCAGCCCGAGATCTCGCGGTTGGCACATCGAAACATTCCATGGGTCCGAAAGAAAAGGGCCTTTCCACGTGCAAGTCTTGCGACATGTCTTTGAGTGGAAGGTCTAGTTGCAGGCCACTTTGGCAGCCAACTTGTTTTGAGGGAGAGCACATGAGAGCACCTTGTCATGTTCAAGCCGCACACGGCTAAATACATGATGTACTTAGCTGTATCTTGCTTTGGGGTTACAATCTAAGTTGAATAGATGCTTTTCACTCAGGCACTCTTCAAGAGTGCACGGACGTCTCTCACACTGATCGAATTCCATCCCCAACGCTTCGTCAGACTGTCGTCCCGTGGATGGTCCCGACGGTTCGTCTCCTGGTAGCGGCACTGCTGACAGGCTGAGCCGTACTCGAAGACCCGCTCGTCGAAGAAGCCGCGTTGATAGACCACGCCTCGGAGCTCCGTGGAGCTCGTTGAGCTCCGAAGAAGTGCCGCTCGCGCCGCCCAGGCCGCGCCCCAGGGAGCGACGCGACGCAAGGAGGGAGGGAGCTACGCAAGGACAAGGAGAGAGGGAGCTACGCTACGCAAGCATCTGATTTCAATTGACTCTACTGTCTGAATTGCCATATTAAAGCTCAGGCAAAGAGAACCATCCAAGGTGAGTTGGTTGGTGGGGCTGCCAGTAGCGAGGCAAGGCTCCCAAGTAGCTCACCAGCACTGGCCCAGCAGAAAAGCCCTGGTCTTGCAAGTACCGTGGACGCTGAAGGCCTTGCCGAGCAAAAGACTGCGACTTCCCCTCCTGAAAGCCATGTAATTGTGCGTGACATCCTTCCAAAGGTAGGGAAGACACCCCAGCTGTTTGAAGTTTGAACCACCAAGTCCCAATTCCCCCCATCCACCATGTTATAACCGTTACGGCGAGTATTGACCCACCCAAAATCCTCACAAGAATCGACGACCCGCCCAAAGGCGTCTTGTGACCACCGAACAAATAGACAACATCTGAAAAAATAACAATAACAATAATACAGTGTGTATATCCCTAGACTTCCAAGACCATTTAAAAAATGGTTGACCTGGTGTTTGTAGTGTAAAATCCTTAGTTGATTTGGTAAAGCCTATTAAATTAATGGTTGTTGGAAGCCTAGGGTATATATATATAACTTCAACCAACTCTCTCCAGCCTGCTCTTCAATCCCATGCGCAGCTGAACGCCTTTCAATCTCCTCTCCAGACCATCAGTCTCCTTCAGCCTCCTCGTCCCCTTCATCCCCTTCATCCCCTTCATCCCCTCATCCCACCTTGCTCTTGCAAGCTCACCAACTCGCCCAAAAGCCCGGGCACCGACAGGAAGCCTTGCGCCGCCACGGCAGATCCCGGGTTCCCCAAGGCGCTCCGCATGAGCTGCTCGATGAGCTCCGGCCCTGAGTAAGGAGGCGGAGTCCGGCCGGGTGCCCAGCATAGGGCAACAGTCAGGTGCTGAGGTGATTTGGGTGAATCCTTTGAGAAAGCTATATGATGATGTACATTGTTACATATGTGCTTCTTAGTTCATATATGTTCATATATGTTCATATTAATTCGCTTTGGCATCGATGACCGAGAAAGAAAACTGACCGAGTACATGTAGGAAAGTCTCCGTTCGTCACATGGTCTCGACGGTGTCGACGGTGGCGGTCTCTCCCGGTCCCAACCGTTCGTGGATGGTGAGACCCAAGGAGACCCAACCGATTCGTGCACCACAAGGCGTCCAAACACCAGCTTTGCGGGGTGCTGTACAAAGGGTGGACAAATGCTGTTTCTGAGGAACAAGTGGTTGGTGTGGTCGAAAAGCATGGAAAGACCATTTCTCACCGTGACACCAAAGCTCCAACACATGTTTGTCTTCTCGATTCTATGGATTCCAAGGATCTATTGACAAATTACCTGGTGTAGAGTTGAACATGAGCCTCCAATGGAGCCTACAATGAGAGAAAATGGAGTGTCAGGTGGAATTTGGGCACTCGCCATAACTTTCTTGGCTGGCATACCACTTCATCCACCATTCATCCACCATTCACTCCACCTCAGTCCATGCTTCTTTCTCCACCAGCTCCCAGTCTTTCCCAGTCTTTCCCAGTCCAAAGCTCCATAGATGTGATCATCATCCACCACCACCAGGAAGGTCCAGGGATCCTCTTCCAGTCGTAAACCGTTCAGCAGGTGGGTCCCGGGCCCCAGATCCTCGCAGCGGAAGAGCCGCAGCGACGGCTTCGACGCCATCCTCAGCCGGACAGCGACGCCTTCGACCGGTGGAAGAAGCAGATCGTTTGGGTGGGAGCAGAACTGGAGGAGACCCTGCACCCTGTTACTAGTAGCGTCCTTGCTGCTAGTAGCTATATATCTAGTAGCTTCTTGTTACCAGCTATTTGGCTAATTGCTCCTAGTAACCTAGTAGTAATGCCCTTTGTTACTAGACCGATTTGAAGAACTGGAGGACAAATGAAACTAATCGTCATGTTGGCAAGTATGTTATTTTTCGCTCTTTGATGAGAGGTGCCAAGACTTCATCCAAGTGTAAGGATTACACGAACATACCTGAACCTGCGGTACAGAGGCAACACATGCCCTTGATTACAAAGTGCGGGCCAGCAGGCTTAATTTTGGCCTACACCTCCTCTGTCCTGTCATGAAGGGTTGGAAGAAGAACCCCTACTTGTGAAAAACATCCAAAATTGGAGGTTTGAGTTTTGATTCGATGGTTTTCATGGGTTTAACCCACGTGTTCCCCTGGCTCATCTCTTCCAAGACGCCCCACCCCTTCCGCCCAGGATCCAGGATGGGATCTGGTAGCTCTCGCCAGTCCGGTTGTAGACATAGGGCACACTCATGTAAATCTCCTGACGCGAAAAGCAGCCACTCAGAGCACACAGCACACGTCGCGTGTTTGCTGGATCGGACTCCGTCGAACATGCGTCGCGCGGCGTCCGCGAACGGCATGTGCGTTGGACGGCGCCACCCGCCAACCGGGAAGGAACCGCTGGGAGTCTCAGCCTCTCATGATCCTCAAATCAAAACCACGGATTCTTTCCATGACATCTTGCATCATCTATCCAACACCTGCCATGGATCCACCTGCCATGTATCCACCATCTGCCATGTATCCAACATCTGCCATGGATGGAACAAAATCTTACCCATACCTCGCCCTGCTCTTCGTCCCAGCATCGTTGGCCGGCCAGGTTTGCCGGAGCATCGAATCGATCACGGGCTCGGTGTACTGGATGCGCTGGGGGATGGTGGTCATCACCACCACGACCCCTCGGTCGCCGCTCCGGTGCTCCGGTGCTCCCGGCAGATCTGGGGTTCCAAAGGGTCAAAGTGAAAAGGAAGGATCGACCAGGTGGAACGCTTCTTTAAGACCAGGTGGAGAAAAACGTTGGTCAATCTGATTCGGACTTGGGGACTCTGTCGAAAGTGCAGAAGAATAGACCAAGTCCAAGGAAACCTTGGTTTAGACACAGCAGCTCTCACGCAGCAACCTTTGCACGCGCCAGGATTGAAAAGGTTGTTTGCCCACCAGGGGTGGTGGAACGCGCGAGCATCGAACGGAACCGGTCCAGCTACTGTCCGAGCACTTTTACACCCATGGCCTGCAGCCATGGCGTCACCAAAACGAAAACACCGGACCACTGCACCAATGCCTGTCCTGCGAAACGCGACCGGCGTGTGGCCCTTGATCCTGAGCAAAACCCTCTCTGGGCGAACGCGGCGGGACGTCCTCGCGTCGACCGGGGCACGGTATTGCTCCCGAAGTTCCTGGAGGTCTCCCGGATGCACCGTGCGCGGCCGCAGGAAGGGGATCCAGCGATGGAGATCCGGTTCCACCTCGAAGAAGCGCTGAATCTTCGCAGAAAATGGATGTTTTTTTATCAAAGATTCGTCATGGTTGGACGAGCAGAGATGCATGAAGCGCTGAATCTTCATTCATCCTCATCCTCATGAAAAATGTCCATCCTCGCCTGGTTCCAGGGGCTACGCTGGTCGGTCTGGTCGGTCGAGACCGACGTCCTATGACCGATGTACGGTGGTTGCCGTTTCGCGCCCTCGATCGATCCCTGTTTCGGCCTCCAAAACAGGATCGGATCTGGTCCGTGCACATGCACCTCCTTCCTTCCGCAAGCGGAACAAACTCTTTGGGCTCTTGAAAGGCCACTTCTTCCAAGGCTCCATGGCGACACATTGGAAGATCTGCAGCGTGAGCAGCATCCATGGCCGTGGCCACGCGCTGGACCGTGCCATGGTTCGGATGAACTGGGAAGAGGCCCACGCTTCGGCCCTCGAGGAAGCAACGGTATCTCCTACTAGATGTTGTACGAAAGCCCATGTTTCTCAGGGTGTCCATGCATCATTTGCATGAATTTGCATGAATTGGGTGCCTGTGGCTTCTTGAAACCACAACGTCTTATCCAGGATACTCAATCCCCTGCATATATCAATAGGGTATGGACATCTCAACATGCAAAAGCCCGTGGTGCAGGATGAGGACTGTCTGCAACAGGATGAATAGGCTCAGTAGAAGTGGTTGTGCGAATCACGAGCCGCATATACCGGTACAGATGTGGTGCTTGGGACAACCCTCTTTCTTGATGGCGTGCCTATGACACGCTGGAAAACTCACTAAAACAATGCTTTCTGAGACAGCATGAAACGACAGTGCGCACAATCTTCAGAATGAATGAAATGAGGTTGGTCTTTGGTCTATGTGAAAGGGGATGGACACAAAAGGCATTATAAAATATTACAAAATCTTCGTTCGTTTGCTACACGGCTAATGCTTGAGAAAATAAACAGCAAAAGAGAAGAGATAGTTTCACATGCCCTTCGCTCACCCTGATGCTTCACTTTTGAGCTGCAAAGTTACCTAAATAAATTACACCCCTGCCCCTTTTTAAAAGGAGCAAGAACCTCTATAGCTTGCAGCTATTGGGGGAATAAACCGTCCTTTTCCTCTCAAAACGAACCGTTCACGGCCGTCTGCGTCTGGTGAATTCGTCCCGGCCAAACGGCCCCATCCTTCGGCCCCATGAAACCGTCCGTTCGCCAATCTGGAGTTCCGGACGGTGCAATTTCGATCGACGGATTGGACAAACCTCTTCTCTGAAGAAACTGCCAGAAACCACCGGATTTCACGTTCGTAGGAAGTTCAATCTATAGTTGATTAGACACCTTCCGCTTCTTTTTTCGGTTGGATTGTGTTTTCGATATGCCATCTTCCCATAACAAGCGATATTACGACTCAAGGTGCAGAGATGCAAAGTGGATAAATCGGCCAACCGCTCGCGGTGGCGCTCCTTTTTGGTTGGCCTCACGCCATCCACAATCACTCCTCGCCGTAGATCAGACTACGGCCCCCCAAAAAACCGACAAATCGTTCAGCACATCTCCATGACAGGTTCCTTGCTGAGGTCCTTTGCTGAACCATGTGGCCACACTCCGAGCAAGGCAGGACCCGAAAACTTCAGGGCAATTCAAGGACAAGAGCACGCTCCTTGGTGCCACGCTAGTAGTAACAGGTGCCTTACTAGTAGTAACAAGGTTCGCTATGTGTTTCTGAATCCAACACCCAAATTCCCTGTCCTCCAAGCGATTCCCTCATCCTGATGGGCTGAAGGGCTGGACCGCCGGGAGCGGGTCGCTCCCGCTCAACGGTCCAGTTCGACGCAACCTGGCAGGAAAAGGTCTTAGAATTGGCAGCCAGATGGCGAGATGGCGATCTGCCTGCTCACTTGCCTGCTTGCGCACTTGTTGCTCAAGCCCTGCCAGGCCTTAAAATGACAACTTTGTCGTGGGTTCAACAAACCCTAGTCATACACGCAGCCCACTCTTTCAAGTTTAGGCTTTTCAAGGGGCACATCTGTTCAGCCCCTGACACTACCGCCATCCAAGCTTTCAGTCTGTTTAGGATCATTTCGAAGAGCATACTTTGGTTGAACCCCAAAACCCCCCGAATGGCCGAAAATTCGGATGGCTCCATCAGCACCGAAGAATGTCTGCACAAAGAGCACCAAGGCATCTGTGTTCCTCGGATTTGAGGGTGTCCGCCTTCGCACATGAATGGTCCGACACATGGATCAGTCTGATGTGATCGTCAGAAACGATGGCTCTGGCTCTGTGAAAAGAACTTTGAGACCAAAAGGCAAGCTGTTTAGCACATCCAGTCCGAAGCATTTAGGATGATGTTCTTTTGGGGTCAACGTGCTTCAAGTGACAATATCTGTGGCTCTCCACCTCTAGAATCTAGTAGGCCAGACTATGCCAGGCTGCTTACAACAATATGGAAAGATCGAAACCTTTCTACTAAACCTGACTTTCCGGTGCACCAGACTTTCTGGAGACGGGGAGTGTCGGCTCCTCGACCTCTGCGGAGATCCTCACGGTCTGCAGAGTCTGCAAATTCTGTCTCTCGCCGAACCAGCCGGTTCTCCCCGAACCGGCCGTGTTCACGGCAGAGAACCCCTATGCAGCCTACGGATCTTCAACAAAGGCTGGTAGTGCAGAGATTCGTGGGGGAATCGCCAAACCGGTGACACCTCGTTTCATGTGCATGGCACATGTGCAAAAAAAGAGAATGGCACTAATGGCACGTGGTGTTTTTGGCCGCATCTCCAACCTTTGCGGACCGGTATGCCACAGTCTAATGCAACGAATTGTAGGATCCGCATCAGAATCCTCATCCACCTGACGAGTCCAGGCGATTGTTGAAGAGGAAGCATGACTTGCCCCCGCCATGGTGTCAAATCTGAAGAGTCTAGCAGGTGTGTCCCGATCTCCACCCATCCCCACCCATCCCCACCCTCCAAACAGCAGGGTTGAGTTGGTGCTTACAGTTCACAAAACACATCCGTCAACGCTGTAGCTTGCTGCTGGCTCATCGGAAAATGCATGCCTTTATTACTGGAATAGTCGAATATCTACTGACATCACTATATGCATATCACTAGTGCTACGAATTGCTTTTGTTTGGCCTTCCTCTGCTCCCGAGACTCCTTCCTTCCCCAAACGATCCGGAGGTCTACGAAGTGGTGCTGCTCTCAAGGGAGTCAGATGGGGTCAGAAGCGATGAAGGGCTCGCAGCTCGCATCCCACTGCTCTCTCCCCACCATACGAGAACCCCCGCCACTGGTTCTCCACCAGCTACTTCGGGAGCTCACATTTGCCGTTCTCCTCGTTCGCGTGGCACCACGCGGAACACGGCGGATCACGGGTCGGTCACATCGATCGTCTAAAAGCGATTCCAGAACAGCTTACGGGCTCATACATGTGAACATGTTCTACTCTCAAACCAGAAGGGAGAACATGTTCTACTCTGCACTGGGCGATCGCCATGTTGATGAACCACTTTTTTTCTCAATCGTCCTTGGAAGATTCCATGAGATCGCATCCGAAAGCAGAATCTACCCCCCAAGTGTCATTAAAAAGATAGGCGGACCTTAAGCTTGCTGGATATTCGCATACTTGATATGGAGCAGATCGTAAGTATCGCGCAATTGACATGTCTTTGAGGTATGCATGGGTATGCTGAATGGTTCTTCACCAAGAAAACTTCATCAATTTGGTTGAGTCATGTTGAGTCTTTCAGCCCACATCTTCATGACCCTGAATTGTCCAATTCTCTGACTTATATAATAACTATTGCATTGTCTCACTTCGCCCAAAACCCTTTCTTCCCAAACATGCTCTCGTTTCTGTTTCCATGACCCTCCAGTCTTCAGTCGCCCCATGCCACAGGCTGAGTTCCCGGGCCGGCACCCAACGCAAACGACGAACCCCTTGGAGCTTGTCCTCCGGCGTCCCTGGAGAAAAGCGTTGGCCATGAAGCGACGGGCCAAGCGGCGGGCCAGGCGGCCGCGGCGTTTCGGTGGGCCCCGATAAATGTTATACTCTGCACATGGAACAAATCTTGGATAAATCCCATGGTACAAAAGCAAGACATTGAATGACATGACCACAACCATGTAGTGGTCTTGGGTTTTTGTGATCGCTCCATCCAATTGTGGACCCTGCCAGCAGGCAGAGCTGAATGGAGAACGAAATCTCCTGCAACACGTCCAATTTGGAAAGTGAAAGAGGTCCCTAGTCTTTCACAAGGTCTACTTCCACCGAGCCCAAATGCCAAGCCTGTCACCGTCGCCAAACATGGCCACACCACATGCACAGCCCAGCCAAACACCTTCCGACAAGAATCCTCACGGTCTCGCCGTGACGACTCGATGGGCTGCACCAGCTGGGGACCCCTGGCTCGTCGCGTCACGGTGCAGCATGTCCTCACCCGCCTCAGCGAGCCCGAGCTGCCCGGATGGACGAAGAGGTCAACACGAGTTCTCACCGACTCCAAATCAGTTCTCAGGGTATCGGGTATCGCGTGTTCAATCACCTCGGCAAGTGCAACCGGACATTAGGGGAAAAAAACTATGATCTAAGAAAGTGGTTCTCTGAGGTGTCAAAAACGATGTGACACAAAAAGAGGAGCATTTGAACCAAAGGCCGTTGGAAAAGCCACGATCTTTGAATCACTTTGTCCTTCACCATGGAGCATCACTTTGGTCCTCCCAAAGCTATTTCTGGCCCAACTTAATTAATTCCCTTTCCGATCCTTTCTTGACACACAACTCAGACGTTGGCCCCAGTTATGTGGTGTTTCCACCCATGCTGAACGCAACAGTCCTCGTCCGCTTCTTTCGGCGAATCTGCTCAATCCCCGTTTTCCCACGCAGTGCTTCGGGGGCGGTCGCTACACTGAGGCCGCGGCCTTGGGAGGCGGAGTCCTCTGCAGGTCCACATCCTGCGACGCAGACCGGAGCGCCGCAGCGCGGAGATCGCTGGACGAGCCATCCGGGCGAAGCTCAAGGGTCGGACAGTAGAGAGAAGATGGGAGAAGCTCGAGATTGAAAAATAAGTCATATTATACCCGCGAGTCACATGAAAACTCTTCACTAAAGTCTGTGTCAACCAAGTCTTCTATCTGTGGCTCTTCATCTTGACCAGGATGTCCTGGTTGACATGTGGAATCGCGTGCGCCGGCGCCGACCGTCTTCCTGGAAAGACGCATGCCCGACCATCACCAACAACACCAACATAACATAGCCACCATGACAAACAGGAAGGAAACGACATCAAAGTCTGTCTCATCCTTTGCTGCTTCATCTCACTCTCCTTTCATTCCTGGACTACGCTTGTCAATTAATGTGACGATTTTGAGAGGTGTCTGCTGCCTAATGAGGCTAGAAGACCTTTCCCATGTCAGTGCCTATGTTCCAAGGTCACTCCAGTTGAACAACGTCTCAATGTTGTCGAGTTTGATGTCCCCACTGCACACATGGTCTTGAAGCCAGAGCCGTTTGATACTCAAGCGCTTTGCTTTTTTCCTGCATTTATTGACCCAATGCCTCGCGCAGCACTGGAGTCACACTTCATGACTTGCAACAGTTTGTATCCAAGGCCTTCAAACGGCTGGTAGTGTGGATTCCACTGGCGGCACCACGTGTCATCGCGTAGTGCTCTGTCTCACCGGAACTTGGAGCCTCTGCACTTTGCCGTTCGCAAGGTCCATGGTCCATGAGGCGCTCACCAAATCCCTCCACGCTGCAAGGCATCGATCCTCGAGTGGCGTCGGCTGCCCAGTCGGAGCCTGTGAGAGACCCACACTTCCTTCGGGGCCTCTTGGATCTAGTTACTAGTAGCTTCTTGCTACTAGTTACTAGTAGTTAATGCACTTGTTACTAGTAGCAATATCCAACTTTCAATCGTATGCTTCGTTCGTCCTTTGCTCCGACGCCATCGATCACCTTTGGCTGGGACATGCCAGGGACATCGCTCACAAGCTGCACACTGGATGGCGGGTCTATCCAAGCGCCGAAACTGCTCTCGGACGTTGTGCGCCCAACACCTGTTGACGTTGGAAGATCCGATCCTCTTGCGCCTTGCAATCCCAGTTGGGTTATCTCTTTGGCGTACTTCAAATGCGGACGAAGTTGAAGCCGATACTACCTGGTATGTGTTCGATGGTTCTGTTCAAAAGCTTCCCCTTCATTGCTTGTCCTCCAAATTCGACGTCCAAGATCGACGGCAAAGTGCTTGGTCATCTTTGGAGAAAGAGTTGAGAGAATAGCACGTCTGCTCTCAACATGTCCTCCAAATTCGTCATCAACTCTTCGTTTGCCTTGGGCTCTGTCTTGAGCTCCTCAATGTCTAAAGTGTCCTTGTTAAACGACCGTGAGAAGAAACTGTATATAATCTGCAAAACCTTGGAAGTTCACTTGCTGGTCGGTCACCAACTGACCTATGATCATCTTCACCAGTCTTGCCTCTGAGGCAAAAAGTACACCAAAACCTGAAAGGCAAAAGCGTCAACATCTGGGTATTATACTCTTCTTCGCTCACTGTTGGCGGGATCTTCTTGTGTCTAACCCTTTTTGCTACTTCACTAACCTCCACGTCTTCAACTGGTAGTGGAATGCTCTCTGACGCAGTGCGACACACATCTTCACATCTGAAGTGTCACAACTCCACACTCCTTAAGAGGTGAACTAGATTTATCCTGGGCCAGCTGGGGTACTTGACTCACATCTACCTCCAACATGTCGAAAGGGTGTGTTTGACAACGACAACAACCACAACCACTTGTTGTTGCACACTGCAGGAACAACAAGAACAAGTCCAAAGTCCAAAGCCGCAAGCCCAGCTTCCCCCTTCTCATCACCACTTTCGGCAATTGGCACGCGAAATACCGACCGACCCACCGACCGGCCTTCCATACGGCCTGGCCGGAAGAGGGCCCGTGGGTTCTCCCACCAAACAAGGACGCGCAACCCAGTCGGAGCGGAGAGAATGATCAACATTCCGAAGATGCGGGTGGTTTTTGACGGGGAACAAAAAAAGCGAAATCAAAGCCTTGCAAGTCTTGATGATGGATTGCATCCACTGCGGAACCGTAAATCTTTGTACTGGTTGGAGCTTGTATGCTTGCTAAATTGCAGGTGGTTCCAAATTGTCCCTAGTGTGCTTGTGGATCGGCTCTGTCTGTCTATCCTGAGCTCAAGCACTTACTGATCACCCATCTACTGCCGTTTCCAGCCGTTTATGTAGTATACTATATTATATCATATTATATCATATCTGTTTAAATCTTACTATGTTATTCTATTATATATTGTTTAATACTGAGCAAACAACCCCTAATCTTTGTTGTCTCCTGCCCCCCCTCCACATTTAGACGGTGCACCTGAGGCACGTGAGGCTCGGAGACAGTGCGATCGATCTGGAAGTCCAGCAGCTCCTGGGGGCGGAGACGAGAAGGGGGGGGAGCATGAAATGGAAAAAAGACTTAGAATGGTGATGGAAGAGTTTGGCATCCTCATTCTTCGACACACACGATGACTGTCCTGTTTTTGTCGGTGAAATTCGGCGTCAGTGGGAAAATTCGGACATCAGGGATGTGCGGCAGCAGAAGGGTCCGATGATTTCGTGTGTCTTTCCAGAGGAAGCCAGGCTCGATCCGACCGTAGAAGCTCGAGATCTCAAGCTTCTGGCACTGTTAAAATGAATAGCCATCGGTCGTGTGTGGATGGAGTGAGGCCGCCGAGGCGCCTGAATTCGGTGGGAGAGACAGGCATTGGTCATTGGAATATTTGAGTCTTCCAAGGGGCGAGATTGGGGCCGAAAAGGTGAATCGATCTCTCTGAAGCTCCTAGGAGCCTCTTTCCTTTGTGCAAAGAACTTCCTGGCCGGGATCAAGCACCGCTTCTAAACTGCAAACCGGACAGCGAGGGTCATCCACCCCGGTCCGCGAGTTCGTCTCGTCCGCACCTCGTCGTCGTCCGAATCCACCGTCTCATGTGCTGGGGGCAAGGTACAGGCACGCCGCAGCGTTGGCCTCGTGGGCCTCGTGCTAGCGGAGCGCCCCACAACTAGCGGAGCGCCACTCGAAGAAGGGGAGCTCTCGGTACAGCGGAGGGAAGAGGAAAGCGAAGGGACGTTTCAACACCACTCAAGGTGCAACTGGAGGAAGCTGGTCTTCCAGTGTGGTCCATGCCATCAGGTTCCTTCTTTGGGGTCAGCCTGGGACGGAGGAACCGACACAGACTGCTGGAGTTGGTGAAGTGTCACCCGCACCAGGGACACCAGATCCAATTGGCTTCCGTCACCCAGCGACTCGCCCAGCAACTCTGCTTCCGGGAAGTTCAGAAGTGCAGGTCTCCGCGCCTGAAAAATGTCTCTGGAAAAGCAGAGCTCAAAGTATTCCTGGGCCAAATCGCTTGGCTTGCTCTTCCAGAGAACGCAGAAGCATGTGTGCGAGGTCAATCACAGGTCTTAACAGTGTTGGTTTGCTAGTCTACCAGCCTTGCTACAAACGTTCGGGGATTCCAACATTCCAATGGCTTGTCCAATTGTTCAGTTTATCAGGGTCACCATGTCAGCTGCCCCGCCCTGATTTGCATGGGCGGGCAAGATCAGCGTGCTCGGTTCAATTCATTCGTAGCCATGTGCAATAGGAGTGATCATGGTTTGACCAGTCTCAAGAGGGTGGCCACTGCATCGTTTGGGAACGAGGGTCACCTGCAACCATATCCCATACAACCCGGCAGTCAAAATAACTACTGAACGAATGCAGGTTAAGCAGAAACATGATTGTTTGCAACAAGAATCATCTGCCCATGAGAGTTGCTCATGATTGCCCTGTTTTTAGGTCCAAGCCAGAGAGACCAAGTTCTCGATTCGCCTGTATTTGAAAGTCCACTTCTTTGGCTCAGGCAATCCCGGGTAGTTTTGCAGGCTAAGGTAGTCATCCTGAAGTTTATATACTGTATATAAGTGTTTTTGGATACGTAGAACAAGGAATCATGTTTGTCCTCCACTCCAGGATGATTCCACTCCGAACATTTCTTGTTGAACTGCGGATCAAGCATACCCTGAGATGAAGGATCCTTGGTGGTTGAAGAATGCACACCTTTGCCGTTTCTTTGGCGCCCTCACGTGGGCGTAAGCTGAAAGCTAGGCTCGAAGGCCAAGCTGGTCCTTGGACAGCCAACCCCAGGCACGCGAGGTCCCAAAATGACAATTACCTCATGGTAAAATCTCATGCAGGAACAGACTCCGTTCATATCAGGTCCTTTGATCTCCCACGGTCCCATCCGAATACACTAACAGCTCATCTCAGCTTCCAACGGGCTTGGCCACGACACTGCTGGAGTCGGGGGCCCAGACCTGGCAAAAGACATCACAAGTCGGGTGAACAAGTGGAGAAGAACTGTCCTCTTTTCCACTTTCGGCCACTAAGAGGGTGCCAAAAACATCTTGTGTTTTCATGTGAAGGAAGACATCCTAGATTCATTCCTCTTTTCATTCCTCTTTTCCACGACTCTGCGACCAGAGGGTGTCTGTGAAAAACATCCACCGCTACCGGTGCCGGCCTCGGGGTGGATCCCGCGCGCCTCGGCCCGGGATCCAAGGCGTCCGGTCCACTCTGGTTGACCTCTTTCGTGTGATTTTGGTCTAGTACCCACAAGGACACAAGGACACAAGCTCTTGGAGTGTTCGAGGTTTCGAGTCCACATGTTAAAATACCTTCCGGGAGCGACTAAGAACTCCGGAGTTTCCGGAACATATGGCTGATGCTGGAGACCATTCGGACCGCCCAAATACACCCCTTAAGTTGGAAAGGCGTCCCGCGAAGTTCGTCAGCAACACCCTGAAACACTTGCTGGCCTTTGCCAGTGCCCCTCAGCTTTGTTCTGACAGACCTCGGCAATCTGAGTCTCCCCACTGGTCGCGCTTGTATGGAGCACCAGGGCCTCAGAAAGTTGTGAAAGGGACCCGAGACCGAAAATCCCAGGTTCCAGGAGTTCCGAATGGGTCCATTGAAGGGTAGGGGTGCCCCTTATCCATTCACTTAGAGATCAAAAACTATTCCTTTGGAACTGCTGGTTGATATCTTGGTCTTCTCAGTCTTCTCAGTCTTCTCTTTCTGGACTGCCAAGATGCAAATGAGAAACCCTCGCCTCCTCTTAAGAGGCACGCCACAGGGGCGACCCAGCGACGGACCATCAACTGCCTTTCGTCTTCTTGTTGGGGATCCACACAAATGGTAGTCCTCCAATATGTGGAGGGGCATTTCCTGGCCTCAGCAAATCCATTTCTGAGCTGCGAAAAACCAGAGTACTGTATCACACTCACACTCTCTCTCTCTCTCTCTCTCCAACAATCATGGAAGTGGATGGCATGGTCCACTTAAGGATGACCATGAAATCCTCTAAAAACAGGTGTCTTTTTCTCTTCAATTCCTCAGAGTTGGACGTAAAGACCAGCGACCCAGCAGGCGAAGGCGGTTCTGCCGACGGATCGTTCGGTGGACCAGATTCGATCGAAAAAGCGGACCTGGCAAGTGCCTAAAATTCAAACTCACCAGTAGAACGGCAGGGGTCCCCAGTAAAAGCTGGTGGGAAACCCTCAGGAACATGTAGGTCAAGGAGTCAAGAACACCTCCGATGAGGCGCCAAGTTTAGGAGGTATGGCAGAAGACTAGTAGCTTCTTGTTACTAGTAATGCTAGGAGCTACTAGTAGCATCCTTGCTCCTAGTAGCGATGCCCTGTGTTCCTAGTAGCTTCTAGTTTTGGCCCAGCCAATCTGATCAAAGCGGAAATGGGTCTCCGGTCATGGCACCAGGATACCTTGGTTGACCCACCGACGGAACTTGCGCAACGATCCAAAGCGCTTCCCAAAGGCCCTTCATCAGTTGATGGGTACCTGGGAGTATGTGAAATTGCCCACGTGCATAGGTGTTGTACCCACACACCAAATATACAAATTGGCACCTGCACCAAGTTGCCGCACCATCAAAAGACCCTAACTACGTGAAACCGAATTTCCGCGCGGCACAAGATGGCTTGGAAGACGAATTGCGACAACAAATTAAAGCATCCAATTACGTGGAACGGGTGGAACAAGGTCATCCAGATTGCCACCCTGATTCCACACTTCACGAAGCTTCTTCCTAAAATGGTTGACCCACCGGCGATAGTCAAGCCGCATGGTGGACAGGTCGGGCTCCAGGTTTTCACCCATCCCCAAGTCTCAAACACAACATCATCCAAAGGCTCCGTTTCCAACCAGTCACTTTTTCCGCCTGATGGCAGCTGCAAGGGCGCTGGCCGCGAGAGCTCCATCTTGAAAGCGACTCGCCAGCAGAACGAGGTGACGAGTCAAACCACTCGGGATCTGAGAAGACATCAGTCCAATAACCTACAAGTGGTGGCCATCGATAATTGTTCAATGATGAAACCTGCAGTTCAACCAGAACTCTCACTCAAAGCTAAATGGGTGTCTCCAATGTGTATTTCCCTCAACACTTGCTTCCACAGGGAGTCGCCTCAAGCGCAAAACCAATTCCTGCGGGTCATTTGCTCTTTCTTAATCACTCTAGAAAAAGAAAGGTTCTGTCCACCTTTCCTCACAGTGTTCTCTATCAGTGGAGTGGCTCAGTCAGTACTTCCACACCTGCGAAAGCTGTGACCACAACCCTGGATCCCTCCAAAAGAAACACTGTAAACCCACTCTTGGCGGTATAGTGAGATCAGCCCTCACATGTTACCCGCATGTCAGCTAACCCACCATGGATTAACCATTAAGCGCACCCCTGGACGCGAAAAACAACCAGTCCTGCCATCGCGCGAGTGCAAAAGGAGAGCTTCAAAGCTACAGCTACAGCACAAAATACGCTGCAAGCCACAATGAGTCAAATCAAAAACATCCAGCTTGCACGGAAGGGAAAACATACCAGCCCTCCCAGCGGCAGTTTTGGCGTAAAATACGGTTTTGAAGGGAAGGCGGCAAAAACTGGTGGGTTTTCTTTGTGTTGAGTCATGGCGCGACGCCATGCAAAGTGCCATGTGTATGTTGACGTCACGTGCGAGCGACAGTGGCACGGCGAAATTGTGTGGTCGTCCTTTGATGTAACGAAATGGGAGGCAAAGGGCGATCAAACAGTGTCCATTACACTAAGCTAGAGTCTACATATGCTGGAACAACCAACCCCAGGCAGAAAACTCTGCGTTTCGTATGCCAAATCTTCTTTCAATTGGTCCTGTGGTTTGTCTCTACCTGGCTTAATCAGGGCCCTGGACGCTTGTTAAGGTCCTCCAGGTTGGTTTTTTTTGATTCAAGCCCTGAGACATGATCCTTCGAACGATGTCCTGTGTCAACACACAACACCTCTGAGAAATACCGCCTCACCTCCGAGGGACGGGGATACAGGTAGCAGGTTAGTAGACTATGACCTCTTCACAACGCTTGCACTGACCTTACGCCTACAGTGCCAAGCAAAAGAAAGGCCTGCCTTTCTTCAAAAAAATAGACATGCGTATTGATGTCAATTGCAACCAACTAAAGCACCAGAGAAACCAAAACAAACTAAGCTGGCCCTGGAAAATTCCGGGACCGGAAGAGACAAAAGAGTATCAACCACAATCAGGCGCGGACTTTAAGAACGGCTGAGAAGGGAAACTTTCCGGAGGCCTAGGCTGGCACCTGGAAGTAGGATGGAGAGGTTGATGGTCCTTTATTACAAGCTGGCGTTTGTTGCCGTGGCACCGGACAAGAGTGTCCTGAAAGACAAACAGGCGCTCGTAATTAAGCTACTGGAGAACACAAAGGAATTTGGGACTTTCAACTCATGTATCACAGAACAGCTAAACTAGCAGCTAAACATGTTCTTAATTACATGCAAAACGCATGTTTTTGATCAACGTGTGGAAAACAGCATTGAATGACTAAGCTGGGCACTGGATGACTAAGCATTCAAGGTCTTCCAATGTCAGACGCGAGAGGCTTTCT